GGGTCGTAACAACACACACAAGTTTAGGGACGGAGGATCCCTATAAGAATATTAAAATAATAAAAATGCAGCAATAAATAAAACATAATACTTGTGCTTTGTAACAAAGTAATGCTGTGGAAGTTAACTTGGTGAACTTATTCACCCTGGACAGGAAATAATTTCACATAAGAAACATAAATAAGAATAAATAAAACAAAGTTTCAAAACAATAAATTGTGTTCAAAGTTCAAAGGAGTGGAGCCACACAACATGAGTTCATAAAGCTGGCGCCATCTGCTGGACGGGTAGCGCAATATCGGCCATATCGGCCATCTTTTTTGGCCGATAGCCGATACTGTTAATGACCCCAATATCGGCCGGCCGATATATCGGTCGGGCCCTAATCCTGACCTCTTGCTGCATCCTAGGAGTCTACATGGATCCTTCCTCCCAGCAGCGCTTTTATAACCACCCCCCCTCCCAACAACACCTGTAGGTGTTTACATCCCAGTTATTATTTGTGGTTTGTGTTTACTGTACAGTCTGAGTCTGTTTTATACTTTTAAATTTGTGTGGACGTGTTTGTTTGTACAAATAAAAGCATTTTTTTTATTTCTACTTCTTGGATGAATGAAAATGAATTTAAATCCAGATGTTCCAGAGTTATGAATAATTCTGGGATTAACATTGTTCAGGTATTATTAATATTGATCTGTTTCACATAATCTACTCATGTTGTCCATCTGTCTACATACACGTGTTTTACTAGAATGAAGCAGTCGGCTGTTTCCAGGTGTTAAACTGTCTCAGAACTAGCAGCCATGCTAACTATCAGCTGTTTACTGGTCATGGACCTGGTTTAGTGAGCGTTAACGTTTATATATGAACGCAGCTGACGTGATTATCCTCATATAGGGAAACTTTGACTTGTTATAAGAACGATCCAACATGAGAATAATAAACGTAGCACTTCCTGTTGTCTCCCACAGACTGAACGATGAAGTAACGACGGCACTACACAACTATTATAAAACATTTCCACGTCCAGCTAGTTGGAATCAAGGCGCGGTCCACTGGATCAGCACTTTCTGGTCAGTGCGCTCCCGATGTAGAGGAAGCTTGTGTCGGCACGTTGCCACAGCAACAGATTATGAATGCACATGCTCAGTCATAAACTGACCCTTACGACATCAAAAATCCCCACCTGACCCGAGTGTGTTGTCATAACAAGGGATGCTCACGCCTGTGTGAACTCCATCAGCTTGAACCTACATCAGTACAACATCTGCCTTTATCAACCCCAGAAAGCAAATATTACAGTTTGGTCCTGCGGCCAATTTTCCATTTCTCATGTTCGATCCGAGACTAAAATAGAAAATACGAAAACACGACATGTTTTGTTTTTTTAACCCGTTTATAAAACTAAATAATCCGTTTTTTCTTGTTTGATTTTTTGTTTTCAGTCTAAAATAGAACGACTGATACATGGACTGGAAGGTTTTACTGAAACATGTTTCATATCCAGCTGCTGGACTGTCAAGTTTTCTCCTTCAAAACAGGAAGTAGGGACGTAACAACTGTTTACCATCCGGGGGGGGGGGTGTCTCCTGAGAGCTAATGCTACAGTGCTCACTATTGTAATTGATGACGGCCGGCAAAAAGCTCCAGTTGTTTAAAGTGGTTGCAGTACCCACGTTTTACCACAAGATGTCCCTTTTACTGCAGTACTACACAATGCACCTTTAAATATTCTGCTGATTACTGCGTGAGAGCGCCTGGCTGCAGGTAGAAGAGGGATAGAAGGAGCCAGCTGACTGCAAGCCAACGTAGTGTTTAGAAAATCCACATCACACCTCAGGGACGGGAGAACGAGCGGGCCAGGTCAGAGTTCGCCCAGAACCCAACGTCAGTCCCAAACAAACAGAATCTGACCACAAACGCCAACGTGTGCATCGGTGGTTAATCACAGCAGTTCATTACACCTGAAGTCCCATGGCAAATGGTGTGTGTGTGTGTGTGTGTGTGTGTGTGTGTGTGTGTGTGTGTGTGTGTGTGTGCGTGCGTGTGCGTGCGTGCGTGCGTGCGTGCATGTGTGTGCATGCACTCGCTCAGACTGCTGGTTCTGGAGGGTCAGGTGGTCCTGGCGGTGCGTCAGCAGTACGTTGCCATCTGTGACCAGGTGTTGACTCTGGCAGACGGAGACGAGGTTGCCGTGGTACCGCCGCTGAGTGGAGGATAGAGGGAAGTGAGTGATGAGCTGATCTCTGGTCAGTCTGATCCATCCTGATGGCCTGATTCACAACAGTTTATTACTCTTTCAGTTTCAGTGATGTCAGCGGAGGTGAGAGACGTCTTCAAGCTGAGCCGTGATTGGCTGTCAGTACAGGAAGTGGTGGACACTGTCAGCAGCTCATCCTGTGGAGCTATCTCAGTATTTATAGGTTGGTAATGAACCACTGATCTAACAGGCACACATGGCTGTGTGGAACAAACGATCAGCCTGTGAAAGGTTGTCTCGACTGTGGGGTGCTGACAGAAACGTCCGACTGAAATGTTCGCTCCGGGGTCAGAAAGAGGAGGCTCACGGGCCGCCTATACAGGTGCTGGCCAGTAAATTAGAATATCATCAAAAGGTTGAAAATATTTCAGTAATTCCATTCAAAACGTGAAACTTGTACATTATATTCATGCAATGCACACAGACCAATGTATTTCCAATGTTCATTACATTTAAATTTGATATTCATAAGTGACAACTAATGAAAACTCCAAATTTGGTATCTCAAAAAATTAGAATATTCTGAAAAGGCTGAATATAGAAGACACCTGCTGCCACTCTAATCAGCTGATTTACTCAAAACACCTGCAAAGGCCTTTAAAAGGTCCCTCAGTCTTGTTTTGAAGGCACCACAATCATGGGGAAGACTTCTGACTTAACAGCTGTCCAAAAGACAATCATTGACACCTTGCACAAGGAGGGCAAGACACAAAAGGTGATTGCTAAAGAAGCTGGCTGTTCGCAGAGCTCTGTGTCCAAGCACATTAACAGACAGGCGAAGGGACGGAAAAAATGTGGTAGAAAAAAGTGTACAAGCTCTAGGGATAACCGCACCCTGCAGAGAATTGTGACGACAAACCCATTCAAAAATGTGGGGGAGATCCACAAAGAGTGGACTGCAGCTGGAGTCAGCGCTTCAAGAACCACCACGAGGAGACTCATGAAAGACATGGGATTCAGGTGTCGCATTCCGTGTGTCAAGCCACTCTTGAACAAGAAACAGCGCAAGAAGCGTCTCGCCTGGGCCAAGGACAAAAAGGACTGGACTGATGCTGAGTGGTCCAAAGTTATGTTTTCTGATGAAAGCAAGTTCTGCATTTCCTTTGGAAATCAAGGACCCAGAGTCTGGAGGAAGAGCGGAGAAGCACAGAATCCACGTTGCATGAGGTCCAGTGTAAAGTTTCCACCGTCAGTGATGGTGTGGGGTGCCATGTCATCTGCCGGTGTTGGCCCACTCTGTTTCCTGAGGTCCAGGGTCAATGCAGCCGTCTACCAGGAAGTTTTAGAGCACTTCATGCTTCCTGCTGCTGACCAACTTTATGGGGATGCAGACTTCACCTTTCAACAGGACTTGGCACCTGCACACAGTGCCAAAACCACCAGCACCTGGTTCAAGGACCATGGTATCCCTGTCCTTGATTGGCCAGCAAACTCGCCTGACCTTAACCCCATAGAAAATCTATGGGGTATTGTGAAGCGGAGGATGCAATACGCTAGACCCAACAATGCAGAGGAGCTGAAGACGACTATCAGAGCAACCTGGGCTCTCATAACACCTGAGCAGTGCCACAGACTGATCGAGTCCATGCCACGCCGCATTACTGCAGTTATTGAGGCAAAAGGAGCCCCGACTAAGTATTGAGTGCTATACATGCACATTCTTTTCATGTTCATTCTTTTCAGTTGGCCAACATTAGAGAAACAAACATTTTTTCATTGGCCTTTAGAATATTCTAATTTTCTGAGATACCAGATTTGATGTTTTCATTGGTTGTCACCTATAAATATCAAAATTAAACGTAATAAACATCGGAAATACATTGGTCTGTGTGCATTGCATGAATATAATGTACAAGTTTCACGTTTTGAATGGAATTACTGAAATATTTTCAACCTTTTGATGATATTCTAATTTACTGGCCAGCACCTGTATACCACTGAGATAAAACGTCAACATTACAGAGCAAACTTGTCATGTGCCTATGTATGCATGTCTGATCTCAGACTTGTGTGTACTGAATCTCTAATTTCCCTCTGGGGTTAATAAAGTATCTTTGAATTGAATTGAATTGAAACAGAGTCAGTGGTAGGGTCGTGTTGCTGTTGGCCAATCAGAGCAGAGATGTCTGACTATCAGGAAGTAAGAGTCCATGTCCTATTGTCTGATGCTCTTCTCTCCTCCGGCTGATGTAAACAGGAACGTTAGTCCCCCAGAGAGTGACTTACAAGGCCTTCATTCCTACTGGATACGCCTGCAGACGTAAAAAAACAGGAGTGAAGTTAAATATTCATAAAGAGGACGTGTTGGTTATGGTTTTTAATAATGCTGAGTAGGGCTGGACAATAGAGACAAAAGTGTATCTATAAAAAAATCATATTGATCGATATCAATGAATATTGAAAACTGTAGAAAATATATTTTAAGTGCAGCCCTGACTGTTTTATGTAAATACTTTATAATGAAACCAGAGCTGTAGAAAGAGAGAGTTACGACATGCTTTGAACTCGCCGACTCGCAGTCCCGCGGTTCATGGAGCTCTCAGTTCCAAACATCCCAGTGCCGTAAGTCAGTTTGAACGGCGTATGGTGGGACAAATCACAAAAATTTAATATAATCACATTTCCCCTGGCGATTTGTGGTAATTATTGAATACTATTAGATATTATATTATATATTATGTCCTAAGTCCTTCACAAAGTAGCCTATTTATATTTTTCCGAGCATTTGTAGGAAGACAAACACCCGTGACTGTTCTACATTACAGGAACACGACAGTCCTAACACACTAGAACACATTTAGACCACATACATTACTATAATATAGCAATAAATCTGATGTAGTAATGCAACACACTGCTCTAATATAAGCATACTTAATAACTAAATCCTACAAGAAGCCGTAAACTCGAGTTGTAATATTCATTTTAAAGTGTTTATTGAAAGCTAGAATTCTGCTCCAGCTTACCTTGAAAATATGTAGCTGTTTATGCTTTGAATGATGATCTGTTATGTTCAGTAGAATACATTTTACTATCATTACTTTATATTTTTATGTGAAGACAGCACATGCATCTATAACCCAGTTTATCTGGCTTCTATAGCAACTAATTAAATCAATAAAACTGTATGGTTCATCACAGTAGATAAAAAAGTGTTAATAATGAAAAAATGAATACAAACTTGTACAACATGTATAATAGCATTTTAATAAAGCATTTTACCAACATTATGTTTAATCATTACATATGCAGAAATAAGCTGAATCATTAATTATGAGCAACGTACTCAAGACCTAATGAAACTCTTTTGAATAACTTTATTTTGATTATTATTAAAATAAAATGTGTCCGTGGGTTAAAATTTTAAGTCACTAATTTTAGGGTTGGATAAAATTTAGAAATGTAATTTTACATCTCTATATTTTTGGTTTAGTTCAATATTTCTATATGTACAAAAACTGTATTTTAATAATCCCTTTATAGGTTGATTATCTTACCGTGGTTGGCTGCACTGCATAAAGCAATCGGTCTGAGGGAGGAATCAATGTATGGCTTCCACAAAGATGCAGAGAGAAGAAGAAAATGGTTGGCTCAAGCCAGCAGGAGCAACCTCACCATGACCAGAGATCACAATAACAAAAAGCTGTGTGCATTGAGTTTAATGTGCACTCTCAAATGTTTTCTATCAAGGCTCTACATGTTGTGCTCTCAACTGCACAAGGCTGCAATTAAACTGTTAAATGTGGCAGGAAATAAACTAATACACCACTCTACAGGCACATTTTGAGCAGGGACAGTTTACTAAGACTAGGCAAGGCGAGGTGAGACTCAGGGCTGATGCTGTGTTTGTTCATCGCCCTGAACCAAGGAGGAGGAAGGATCCCGCAGTGAGAAGTACAGCAGAACCACTGCATGTTGATCCACTGACCAGTGACCACACATATTGTACTCAAGTAAACTGTGCTACGAATCTTTTGAAATATTAGACATTTGTATTTATTTTATTTTAAAATGACGGCCAAAACCACACAGATTAAATATCAGGCTTAATAAAGCAAATCATGGAAATCTCATAAAAATGAGAACAAATTCAACTGAGCAGAAAACTAGAAAAATTAAATGTGGATTATTGAACATTAGGTCTATTTTTCTAAGACTTTGTTAGTTAATGACTTGATTTGTGATAATCATATTTCTTTGCTTTCACAGAATCCTGGCTGCAGCAAGAGGGCTATGTTAGCTTAAATGAGTCAACTCCTTCTAATTATTTAAATCATCATATTGCTCCAAGTACAGGGTGAGGAGGAGGAGTAGCAACCATTTTTCATTTAGACCTATTAATCAGTCCCTTACCAATTAATAATTACAGCTTCCGGTCAGTAACAAGATGGCGCCTGTGCTTGGCTTAGCCGCAGTCACCGGCCACTTTTTCAAACTTTTCTCCACTAACCTCCTCTTTTCCACCTTGCTCCTGTCTGCGATCCTCTTCGGTAGTGTCCCTGCTACCATCTCCTATGATCGCCAGACTCTTTTGTCCTTCCGTTCGTTCACAATCACCCAAGATGCACCGAGGACGTACCTCCCTGTTTGTTTATCTGAGTGGCGTGCTGGCCCGTAGCCAAACAACGATCCCAACCAGGGCACCTCCAGTGATGTTAATCCGGTCCCGGAAAACATCGGAGGAAAAGAGGTAAACGAGCAGGAATCCAGATGAGAATAAGACTTCTCTTAAAGCGTGGCTTATCTAGTAAACATCGGCGTGATCTTCTAGCTTCTTATCCTTTGTTTGGCGACTTGAGCGCCACTTCTGCTTTCCCGCCAGGCCGCATTGCGGCGCGGTTTCTCCGTTCAAGTTTTTTAAGGTTGGTTTATCTCATTCCTCAGTGGCTTCTCCTCCTGTTCCCTCCATAAGTGGTTTTTATAAACACCGTGGATCTAACCCCCTGCTAATTTACGTCCACTAACTCCAGCTGTTTCTGTAGTTTCTGATTCCTCCACCTCACTCAGCATGGCTCTATTAAATACCCGCTCTGTTAACAATAAGTCCTTCTTGCTCAATGATCTAATTCTCTCTAAAAACCTGCATTTTCTGTTTCTGACTGAAGTTTGGCAGCAAACATCTGATTATTCTGGTCTGATTGAACTTTGCCCGAGTGATTATTCTTTTCTTAGCCAGCCCCGGGGTTCTGGTCGTGGTGGAGGCCTAGCTGTTGTTTTTAGAGACCATCTTCCATGTAGCTCTACAACCTCTGGTCACTTTGCTTCCTTTGAACTGCAGCTAATTAAAGTCGGGCGTAAGGACCCGTTCTACTGTGCTGTGGTCTATCGTCCACCTGGTCCAAAAGGTTGTCCCACAAGGCTCTGTACTGGGGCCTCTGCTCTCCCTCCTCTATCTGCTTCCTCTTCAGCGCATCCTGAGCTCATTCAAAGGAATCTCCTACCATCTTTATGCAGATGACATCCAACTGTACATCTCCTTTAAGCCCCATGAGAAATCTAAGCTGCAGCTGTTACACACCTGCTTAGACTCTATCAAAACCTGGATGGCTGGGAGCTTTCTTCAGCTGAATGAAGGTAAGACTGAGATCCTCATCTGTGCCCCAGACAAGCTGGTTCCCAAAGTCAGAGACTCTTGGTCAGTTTGCTTCTCACACCAAACCTTCCGTCAGGAATCTTGGCGTGACCTTTGACCCAGCTCTCACCCTGGATTCTCATGTCAGTTCTCTTGTTTGCTCTTCCTTCTTCCATCTCAGGAACGTTGCTAAGCTGAGCCCCATTCTGTCCCGCTCTGAACTTGAGACAGTTATCCACACCTTCATCTCCTCACGCTTAGACTACTGTAACTCTCTTTTCACGTGTCTGAGCAGAACCTCCCTGAACCGTCTACAGGTGGTTCAGAACGCCTGTGCTCGGCTTCTGACCAAGTCCTCCAAACACACCCACATCACCCCGCTTCTCCTCCAGCTTCACTGGCTGCCAGTCAACTTCAGGGTTCATTTCAAGATCCTGGTTCTGGTCTATAGGGCCTTACATGGACAAGCACTATCTTACATTGGTGATCTTCTTAGTCCCTACACCCCCAGCATGTCCCTGAGGTCCAGTGATCAAAGCCTACTGGTTGTGCAGCACCAGGCTAAAGACCAAAGGTGACAGATCATCTGCTGCTGTGGCCCCCAGACTCTGGACCTCTCTCCCCCTGAGCCTGAGATCAGTGGACTCAGTGGTCTCCTTTAAAAAGCAGCTGAAGACTCACTTGTTCAAGCTGGCTTTTATATGACCTTCTTCACCACTCTCTTTATTCTGCTCTCCCCACCTATTCCACCTTCCTCAGGATCCACTGATTTCCCTCTTTCCTATTCACTCTCTCTCTCTTTCTTAACATATTTTTGATCACAATTGTCTATTTTTTGCTCATTTTAAATATATTTTTAACCATTTTCTAATTTTTTAAATATTTTGACATTTTTTTGTTTTTGTGAAGCGCCTCGTGCTTTTTATCTTGAGAGGCGCTATAGAAATGAGATTTTCTTCTTCTTCGTCTTCTTCTTCTTTTGAACATCTTATTCTTAGTTTTCCTAATCCAGATTGCAAAACTGTAAAACCACTCTTGTTTGTAGTTATGTATCGTCCACCAGGCCCATTCTCTGAGTTTTTGGATCAGATCTCTGATTTTTTTTTATATGATTTGGTGCTAAATACTGATAAGGTCATTGTAGTGGGGGATTTTAACATTCATGTGGACATTGAAAATGATAGCCTCAATGTAGTCTTTAGTAATATCTTAGACTCAATTGGTTTTACCCAAAGAATACATAGCTCCACCCACTCCTGCCATCATTTATTAGACCTTGTGCTGACTTATGGCATAGAGTGCGAGGAAATAACCATATATCCACATAATACAGTCCTCTCGGACTACTTTTTGATAACTTGGAGTAACCAAAAATTCAATGAAAACTGCTTAAATGGATCCATTAGTTAAGAGTGGTGATAAACACATTTAATTAACTACAGACCAGTGTCACCACTTCCACAGTTTTCCAAAATATTAGAAAGAGTGTATCAAGGTTGGAGAAATTAATCGAAGCAAACAATATTTTAAACCATGAACAGTGTGGATTTAGGACCAAACATTCAACAGCAATGGCTATAATTAATTTAACAGGTAAAATATCAACAGCAATCAACGATAAAAACAACTACTTATTATTTTTATTGACTTAGAGAAAGAATTTTTATGTCTTTAATCATTTGAGGTTACTTCAGAGATTACATCAATATGGAATAAGAGATATGGCTCATCATTGGATAAAAAGTTATTTGGAAATTAGGAAACAGTTTATTAAGATTATGATGCTAGATCTAAACTGAGCGATATTGTGGAGTGCCACAAGGGTCAGTTCTTGGGCCTAAATTGTTAATGTTTATCAATTACCTTATAAGGTCATTACCATTTACCACTGCTGGGAAGAAGTTCTTCCTTTTTTCTGAAAAACACATGGTCAAACATAGCAAATGTTGTTGTTTCTGGAAATATAAAGTCACTATACCTGGTTTTCTGTTGTTGTTTTTTTTTTGTTTCTGATGAGTCTTCAGAGATGCTTCTACATGTCCTAACAGTGCCTAGATCTGCTGTATAAAAGCAAATTAGGTTTTAATAGTTTCACTAGGTCAGGCATCTGGATGAATTTTCTTACATAGGGTTGTTAATATTTAATACCTTTTGATGTACAGCTGCTTTTCACTTCGGATCCACTGTCATTCCAGAAAAGAGAAAGAAAAACAGCATGAGTGTAAATTTTTGGACAAATAAAATTAGAAATAGAAAAATCACGTACCTTTGTAGTTTTTTGTTCTGCTTGGATATAGTCTTCTGTCTCAGAAGATGCTTCCTTTATGGAATCACTGGATACCAGTAAAGAAGTAGAAATATATACTGTGTTAGTTGTCACAGTGAGCAAGCTAATTACTACAGATGTATGCCTATTCCAAAATGCCTCAACACTGTGTAGCACCTCTTCTTCTGTTCGGTGGCTGGACAGAGGAAGAGGCCTATCATACATATGCAGGGTTTCTCTTACATAGGCTCAGGCGTGAGGCTGCGCCACTGCTGAAATTCCAGCGCCACGCCTAAGAGAGCCCCCACACAGACGAATGGAACGGAAGCACTCTGTTCACAACGAACCCCCCCCCAGGACAACAACATGTGGCAGCGCTCTCAGACTGCAGGTTTATGGGTGGTTCCCAGAATATCAAAAAATAGGATGGGAGGCAGATCTTTTAGTTATCAGGCTCCTCTCTTGTGGAACCAGCTCCCAGCTTTAGTCCGTGAGGCAGACACCTTGTCTACTTTTAAGACTAGGCTTAAAACATTTTTATTTGATAGTGCCTATGGTTAAAATCTGATGTTAGCCCAGATATGGACACGTGGGGGAGTAGAGGGAGGTGGAGTGTACAGTCGATAAAGACGGCTCTCCCTTGCTCTTCCTCCAACATGCCTCCATCTAAAAGGCTAGTTTATCCAGTTATCTCTGTAGTTATGCTGCTATAGGCTTAGACTGCTGGAGGATACACTGACCACTTTCCACACTCGACTACTTTCTTCTACAGTCTGCTCTTTAACTGTATTATTTCCTGCTATTTCAGCTGTTAACTTTATTTTCTCTCTAAGTGTTTTTCTCCCCAGAAGAAGCTACAAAGATGTTCTGCTGAGCTGTGGTGGCCTCATGGAGGGGGCCATCAGATAATTGGCTATTGCAACTTAAATCCAGTACCTAAAATTAAGGGTAACAACATCTGATGTGTGCAGGTACGACCCGGGAAGACCAGGTGGACGGCAGAAAGGTGGTTGGTCTGGAGTATGAGGCATATGAGTCCATGGTCCAGTCGGAGCTCACTAAGCTGTGTGCTGACATCAGAACTCGCTGGCCCAGCGTGAGACACGTCTGCATCCACCACCGCCTCGGGTGAGCTAATGACCGCTTCTCACTGGTACAGGTGTCACATTTCAACAGGAAGTTACTTGGTCACTTCCTCCCCCAGATGGGTGAGTGTGGGTGAGGCCAGTGTCATCATGGCGATCTCGTCCCCCCACCGCCATGAAGGCCAGCAGGCTGTCCAGTACTGCATTAGCCAGCTGAAGGCCAACGCCCCCATCTGGAAAAAGGTGAGAACTGGAGGAGGGTGGAGCTTAGTGCCTGTGATGGGGTTGGGTCATCAATCAATAATCTTAGTGGTTGGTTGTGACTGTTTGACAGGAGGTTTACGACAATCAGGAGACAAGCTGGAGAGAAAACTCTGAGTGTTCTTGGTCCCAGAGTCCAGAGAAGACCTGCTCAGAATCCCACAACCAGAACTAAATAAAACTACCTGTGAGGAGGAATAAACTGTGTGTGTGTGTGTGTGTGTGCGCGCGCGCGCGTGCGCATGCACGCATGTGTGTGTGTGTGCGCCCGTCCGTCCACATCAAACTGAGGACTGACAGACTTTTGACCTATCAAGTCACTTTTTTCAAGTGAGGACATTTTGCCTGGTCCTTAAATTTATAGTGTTACAGATCTCTACTTGTTAGTTTTAGATGTATGGCGTGAATTAAGTTTTAATTAAGGTTGGTGTTAGACTGGTAATGGTTAAGGTTGGGTACAATTCAGTCACTAAAATGAACAGAAGTTGATGACGGTCCTCACAACAAATGTAAGACAATAATGTGTCTGAATTTGCATTTGCATGTTAAACCTGCTAGTGCAATTCAAGTGAAAGGTGGCTCTACAAAGTATTGAGGCAGGTAATAGAATAAAATAGTCGTGTGCTTAATAAAAATAAGCTTCGACAAGCTAAAACTACTTTATTTTTCATCGCTAATTGAAGAGAATAAGAATAATCCTAAATTTCTTTTCAGTACAGTTGCCAAACTTAGGCAGAATCATAGCTCTGAGCCATCTATTCCCTTAGCCCTCAGCAGCAACGACTTTATGAGATTTTTCACAAGTAAAATAAATTCTATTAGAAACAAAATCTTTAGCATCCTCCCTAATGCGATATCTTCTTCCTCAGTAAGTGAGGCAGCATCAGAGGTGACTGTAGAACCTCATCTGTGCTTGAACCGTTTTGATCCAGTTGAGCTTTCAGAGTTATCAAAAATATTAGCTTCATCTAAACCTTCAACTTGCATTTTGGATCCAATCCCAACCAAATTATTTAAAGATGCATTTCCTTTGGTTACTGCCCCCATTCTAGATATAATCAATCTATCCTTAGTAAATGGGTATGTACCACAAGATTTTAAGGTTGCTGTAATCAAACCTTCACTTAAGAAGCCTTCTCTGGATCCAGATGACCCAATGAATTATAGACCACTATCTAACCTTCCAAAGTCCTGGAGAAAATAGTGGCCATCCAAGTATGTGAGCATTTAAACTAATGATCTGTGTGAGGAATTTCAGTCTGGTTTTAGAAAGTATCACAGCACTGAAACTGCATTATTGATAGTTACAAATGATATTCTCATGGCCTCAGATAAGAATCTTGTGTCTGTTCTAGTCTTGTTAGATCTCAGTGCTGCCTTTGACACAGTTGATCACAATGTTCTTGTAGAAAGACTTGAACATGTTGTAGGGATCAAAGGAACAGCGCTAGGCTGGTTTAAATCCTACCTGTCTGATAGATTTCATTTTGTAAACATACATGACAAATCTTCATACTCCAGGGCAGGGGTGTCAAACGCAAATTCACACTGGGCCTAAATGAAGTCAAACTCAATATTTACTGAAAAGCAACGGCAAATGTGCACATTTTCCTTTATTTAGAGTGAGTGTTGTTGAATGTTTTCATTTGGAAACAAACTTATTTTGACAAACACTGAATCTGGTATGACCAAATTACGCACAAGCAAGTACATTTGAAATAAAACACATCGGTCGTTATTTATGTCTTGATTTTTTTCTACTCTTTGTATTCCTTAAAATGTGTATTTATTCAGCATTTTTGAATTTTTTTTGTAATTGGCATATTTATTGAACTTTTTCGTTGAACAGCAAAGATAACAAAAGTCACAATAACAGCCATCATTCAATTTACTCTTATGTCCGTCAGTCACCCGTGATGAGTAAAAAATAAAGGAATAATAACAACATGCAGATCAAACAAACATATAAAATTGATCTTTGACTTTTTGAATGGGGCGTTTATCATCCCTTTCATTTATATAGTGTGGGCTCTTTAGAGCAATGCTTTTTTTGTCATCCATTCGTTTTTACATTCTCTTTAAATGCAAGTTTAGACATCCTATCACAGCCTTGTAACATAGTCCGGACTTCCTATCCCGTTCTATCCCCCCCGCAGTCTATCACTCCAAGAACTTCATCCATAATTCTTTAGAAATTTGCCCAGTACTGTGTTATCATAGGACATCCCCATAATACATGGAAATGGTTAGCTTTTGCTTCTCCGACAACCCGTTTCTCCGTACTTTCTTTGTGCCGGAGTTATAAAATATCTCACCGTATTCCCTCCAAGACCTTGAACTGCTTATTTTCTATTGGTTTTCATTTATTTCTTCCCAGTTCTCTATCTGGATCGTTGTTAGCTTCCCTTTCCCATTTTAATATAATTTATAGTATTCCCCTTCAGATCTTCCATTATTGTGTAGATTTTGGATACGATTTTTAGTTTTGCCTGAGATTTGCTTCAATCATTATTTTAAGTAACCCCTGCAATTTATTATCATAATAAATGTTTTTAAGGGCTTTCCCTAGGTGTGATCCCAACTGCAGGTACCTGTTTATTGTGGGCAGTATAATGGGCCATTCCCATCTGTACCGGGTTGGCCCGGGCCGGGTAGCCCCAGTTGGCCCCAGCCTGGCCCGGTTGATTCCACACATCCTTGCCTTAAGCCCATGTGGGCTGATTCTACCCACCAATCAGAGGCTTGCTCTAATGGAAGGTGTGAATTTGCTGTCAGCAGTGGGTGTGTTGGCCCTGGTCGGCCTGAAGCAGACCCCCTCGAGAAGAGGGCTGAGAATGAGCCTTGGTTGGCCCGGAAAAATACCAGGCCACCCAGATATGTAAACAACCTACGCTACCCGGCCCGGGCCAACCCGGTACTGATGGGAATGGCCCATAAGGGTACACCTGTGCACTACTAATGATGTCGGATCAGCATCTTGATGTGGCACGCCTGTGAGGTGGGATGGATTATCTCAGCACAGCAGAAGTGCTCACTGTCACACATTTAGACTGATTTGTGAACAATGTTTGAGAGAAATGGTAATATTGTGTATCTGGAATGAATTTTAGATCTTTAAGTCCATCTCATGAAAAATCAGAGCAGAAACAAAGGTGTTGCATTTATATTTTTGTTGAGTGTTTCATTCATTTCCTGAAATCCTATAATTCCTTATTTTGTAATTAAGTCCCAGTACCTCTGTGGTCCATCTTTCCACCATCTGAACGTGTTGTCTAATTTATTTGGTGTAAATTCTGGATCATATGCAATCCACCTCAAAAACCTGGTTTCTTCTGTTACATTGTGTTTTTTAAAAGTGTCATTCCAAATTTGTTGAGATAACTTGCGCCATGGATGTAAGTGAACCATTAAGTCATTCTCTCCCACAAGAGCCTTCATTGGGGGTCCTTCATCTAGTCGCTCCTCTATATCTTTCCACTCGGCCTGATAGTCGGGATCACATCGAAGGATGCCACCTCCTTCCTAAGAAGGGTAACAACAAGCCCACGATCATGCTTTCGCGTTGTCAACAGGAAAAATAAAATGGCATTGTTAAGGCAAGGACACAAGCTCAGGGGAACGACTGTTTATCTGAACGAGCACCTGACCAGGACGAATGCAGAAAAAGCAACAGCAAGCAGTCCAACACACATGGGTGGCAAAGTGGCTCACCAGAGGAGGCCAAGATCCTCACGGTGAGGCATTTTGGAGGAACTGGACAAGTTTCAGTGAAATCATGGAAGCAACGCATGGAAATCTGTCCAGGTAAAATTGAATCACTATTCCACCTTCCTGACCTACAAACGTCACAACAAAATAACAGTGACCTGTTGTCAGGAATCGTGCAGTTACAACAGCTGGATAGGAAAACTCGTGAATGCATCGATGACCATGATATAGAGACAGATATACCCGGAACGAAATGTTTTCTCCTCCACTTTTAATTGTGATTATTACACCAATAAACAGTTTAATACAAGCCTGATTATGAAGAGAAGATCCTCCATTATTCATGTTAACAGCAGAAGTGTGTATTCTCATTACAACAAAATAAATGAATAATTACAAACATTCAACCACCAGTTTAGTGTCATAGCAATATCCGAAACCTGGTTTAATGAAGAAAACAGGATTTAGAAAAGGACGATTATGAACTAAATTATATGAACAGAAGAAATAAAACTGGTGGAGGGTAGCGCTGTATGTGCTCAAAACAATCAAATACTCAGTACTAAATAGTATGTCCATTGTACTGGATACTATAATGGGATGAACTAAAAAATGAAAAACTACAGAATATTATTGTAAGCTGCATTTGTAGATCACCTGACTCAAGTGTAGATAACTTCAATGAGTGTATGGATAAAGTATTTTCTGTGGTTAGAAATATGCCTGTATTCATATGTGGGGAATTTAATATTAACCTTTTAAATCCAAACACTCACAAACCAACTTGTGACTATATTGATGGGAGTTGTAGCATCCATCCATACAAAGCCTAGTAGAACCCCTTCAAACGGTGCAACTTTAGTTGATGTTTTCTGTTATGATTTCTTTGTGACATTACTGACCATTTACCAGTTTTTAATATACATAACCACACGGTCTGTACGAGGAAAGAGACTTCTGATGTGTGTCATAAACTAATAAGAACGGAACAAACAATAATTACATTAAATGAAGACTTAAAGTCTTGAGACTGGAATTCTTCCTGTGGAGCGACAGAAACAGACGAGGCTTACAGTCATTTTATAGAGATGTTAACTTCACTGTATAATAAGCACCGCCCCATCAGAAAATTAATAAATCAAACAAATATTCCAAATGCTCCTGGATTTCCACGGGATTACAAAACGCATGTAAGAAAAAAAGGTCTTTACAAAAAACGTCTTAATTTAAAACTAAAGAAGCTGAAGATGGAAACAAGTTGTCCAAGAACAAGTTAGCAGCGACATTGAGAACAGCAAAGTAATTATATAATACAAATGTGTTATCAACAAACAGATTCAACATGAAAAGCACACATTAGCCAGTTTCATAAAGCAAGGATCTAAAAAACTCGTGTCTGCATCACTTCGTTGGGTCCAACAGTGAAAGCGACAACATGAGCGGTATCGTGAACAGCTGTAAACATCGGTCCTGACATAGCTAAGAAACTTCCCATCGAGAAGTAGAGCTCAAAATAGAGAGAAATGAATCCAGTTTTTCTTTCTGCAGTTTTTAGTATGAAATACTTCATATTATTGGTGACTGTAAAAGTAAATTCTCCAGACTGTCACTCAATTGATATGGTGTTAATAAAAAAGGCAATAAGTAATATTATCACACCTTAACACATCTGTAACCTGTCGCTCAACAACGGCGGTTCCCAAAGAAATGAAAAGGGCAAAGGTCGTACCGATAGATAAAAGTGGAGATAAGTATGATTTTAGTAACTATAGACCTGTCTCACTACTTCCGCAATTTTCAAATATTCCTGAGAAGGTTTTTGACAGTGGGTTAAAACGTTTTATTAAAATAATGTAATTAATGAAAGGCGATATGGTTACAGATTTACTTCAACGGTTCTAACTGATGCGACAGAGGAGTAATCTGAAGCACTAGACAACAAAAAGCATGCTGTAGGAGTTTTCACTGATCTTAAAAACGCTTTTGACACAATCATGAAATATTAGGAAATGAGAACAATATGGAACACTTTGAGAAAACTAAAGTTAACAGCTGAAATAGCAGGAAATGATGCAGTTGAAGAGTAGATTGTAGAAGAAAGTGGTCAGCACGGCTGATACCCCAATTTTATTATAATGAATTTATGCATGGCTAAATGTCAGATAATGATTAATAAAGGTGCACCGTTGGTATTGTGCTTTGACTTTATTTTAGTTCATAGTAGCCAATCAGACTACGATTAATACTTTGTGCTTTTTTCTACTTTATGGGTCGTTTACATGCGCCATCTTGTCCTAATTTGTGTCTCTACCTGGCCACCCCAAAATAAATGTTCTAGACACACACCTGTTGAGCAGACCACCCTCAGACAGGCACTGTGAACAGATCCCTCCACGTTTCACACTCTAGATACGTTTTACCAGTCAGGACGAAGGTTCAGAGTCCGCCTCTGTCAGCACAACCGGTACAAACGCTCACTTCTCCCATTATCAGTGAAGCTGTTAAAGCACAAGATGAACATGTCCACTAGAATACGCTGTTGCCTAGGCAACGGAGTCAAAAACCAATGGCTCTGGAGCCAGCTTAGCAGACAACTCCTATGTCAGAGGCGAGGCATCACCAGTGTGTGTGTGTGTGTGTGTTGGACGTGTCTTGCCCAAGGGCACTACGTTAGACCCAGATGAAGCCTGGGTTAGAACTGGCAACCCACATGTTACAGGACAAATTCTTATCCCCTGAGCCACTGATGGACTGTGGACACCTGCCTCACCTCACCTGGGGCCTGATGGGGGCAAACAGCTGTCTGAAACTCAGGAATAAACAATTTAGACAGTGAGAGAGAGAATAAAAGGTCTGAGCCAATCAGGCTTCTCAGAATCTCTGAATCACTTCCTGTTTCTTGCCTGGGGGAGCAGCTGATTACCACACTGACTTATGATGTCATCGTGATGATGACACTACACATAAGCATCCTGGCTGTCACATGACAAGAGGGTTTAGGTGTTTTTGTTTAAAAAAGTGGAACTGGTTTCTAGATGATGTCATCAGGGACATAGTTCAGTTATTAGACGAGTTTCACCAAGTCAAACGAAAAAGTACCAAATAGCTAAGTTTGTCCTGTAGTAGCTGCTGTAAGCGTGTGTGTGTGTGTGTGTGTGTGTTTTCCTTTATTTGAACTTTATTCGTGTCATTGTTTTCATTTTAAAGGTGAGAGGTAGTTCAGAAGGAGAAAGCTGGAGGTGAGACAGCTCGAGCCACACCTGCTGAGGTGCAGGTAGGTGCTACAATGAGGGCTGAGGAGATTTTAGATGGTTGATGACGAGAGGGAGGAGAACACCATGACAGCAGGACTGGACTTGATGGTTGGTCTGCAGGAGGAGCTCTGGTGGAGTCAGATCCACCAATGCGGGTTTACCTGTTGCCGATGCCGATGTATACAGGTTAGGGGTTCTGAGAGCAGGGCACAACCTGGATAAGCGGAAGTGAAAGGATGAATTAATAAAAGTATGTTTATTCAGACAAGCTTTTATTTTGGAAGCACAAGCCGAACTTTGCTTTCGCTTCCGGTGTCGGCGCCGTACCCCCCCGTATTGATCAGCTGACCGTCCATCGGTCTGCTGACTGTCAATAAGCCCCGAACACCGAACCCCGCTGCTGGAGCCCTCGGACCGGACCGGACCACTTCCTGCCGCCCTGCGCTGCTACCCGGAGAGCGGATCTCTGGCAGCAGCAGCCGTTGCTCCTGGTTCCGGTGTTGTCCGGTCAGCTGGTCGCGACCACCCAGAGCCGAAGCTCCCTGAGGCGGCCTTCAGCCCCGCAGCCCCCCGGAGAGCCATGGACCTGCTGGATGTCGCCATGCAGGGCCTGGCCGTGTTCGGCCTGGTTCTGTTCGCCGTTTTGTGGCTCATGCACTTCATGTCCATCATCTATGTGTGAGTGACCCTTCTGTCGTGTCTGGACCTTGATCGCCGACCCGGTTCGGCTGCCGGTGATCCCCGTGTGTCAGCTAGACCAGCCGGTGACCGTTACCGGTTAGCTGCTGCTTACAGCCGAGTACAGCTGAGTCCGCCCGACGGAGGACTTCCTGCGGTTTCGGATCACACCCATCACGGCCTGTAGCATTAGCCGTTAGCCTTCCGGTGTTCCGCCGGTAGACCGGTCCTGGTTCTGACAGCTGCGTGTTTACCGGCGTCGAGTTTTTTTATTCAGCAAAACTTTATTATGTTTTATCCAGAAAAACCACAACTTCCGGTCTTGTTCCGGTTCGGTTGGGACTTTTACATAGCTCCGGTTTCTGGTCCTGTTGCTGGTGAGCAGAACCACATCATTGTGTCTAAGGTGACCTTTGACCTCTGTTGCAGGCGTCTTTACCTCCATAGGAAGAGGTCAGAGGTCAAGCAGCCGTTCCTGCAGGTAGCTGGAGTCTCTCTGCTGAAACCACTGAAGGGGGTCGACCCGAACCTCATCTGCAACCTGGAGACCTTCTTCACTCTGGACTACCCCAAGGTAACACACACACACGCACACACACACACACACACACACACACACACACACACACACACACACACACACACACACACACATACACATTTACACGCACACACACGCACACACATACACATTTACACGCACGCACACACACACATACACATTTACGCGCACGCACACACACACACACACACACATACATACACATTTACACGCGCACACATACACATTCACACGCACACACACACACACACACACACACACACACACACACACACACACACACACACACACACACACACACACACAGGGATTTACTGACATGTGACCCTCAGCTGACTGGGCCCTGACTCACTAACATCAAAACCTCTCATAAACGATGGGGGTTCTGCTGGTGCCCCGGCCTGGTTACCAGGCCCCTCCACCAGACCTGCTGTCGCTACGGTGTGTTGTTGCGTTTCCTGTGAAACGCTCAGCCACAATCCAAGTGACTGGAGGTAGTGTAGTATTAAATCAGGTGTGTGTGTGTGTGTGTGTGTGTGTGTGTGTCTGTGCGCGCGTGCGCTCTGACAGCACTGTATGGGCTGTGCTGACACTGATCTGCTAACAAAGTTCCTAACGGATAAATGAAGGGAATAAAGCGTAGCCTACGCTCACACGCCACTCTTCCAGAACATTCAAGCTCAGGAGTTCAGATCGGGTCAGACAGGAAGTCAAACAAGAAGCTGTTGTTAAACATGGGAACTTTAAAAAGTCCCGTGCAGATTTTCTGTTTACTAGTAAAACATGAGACCTCCATAGCCGAGGCAAACCCAACAGAACAAAACCGAACCACAGACCTTCTGGGAAAGCTGCTTCTGTCGTAGAGATGAGCTCAGTGTTTCTGGGTCACATCCAGCCTCTTCCTGCCATGAATGAACAATGCTAACTTAGTTATGAAAATGCAGCATAGAAATGAGGTGTCATTTCACGGGTAACCATGGCAACTTGGATAGAAATTCAGACTCTAGGACGCAAAAAATGTTTTCTCCCTTCCAGCGGCACTGTGCTGCTACAGCGGTGGGCTGAGGAGCGATCAGGCAACATCCAAATAAAAACATGGTCAGATGGATGCGCTGCTGCATCAGGGTGCTCTGGGATGGCTGGATATCCCAGTCTAACACAGGGCTTTTCAATTCCAGGCCTCGAGGACCGGTATCCAGCACATTTCAGTGGTTTCTCTGGTCCAACACTCTGGATTTTGTGGTTGAATCACCTGTGCAGCAGCTCATCAGGCCCTGCAGAAGCCTGTTAATCACCTACTAACTGAAATGTTGAAGCAGGGTTAAAACCAAAACGTGCTGGACACCGGCCTCGAGGCTCGGGATGAATGTCCCTGCTGTACAGAATATTCCTGTCATCAAGATGCACAGTGAGCTGGGGGGTGGGGGGTCAGAGGTAACTGGGGGGGTGTCAGAGGTAACTGGGGGGGTGGGGTGTCAGAGGTAACTGGGGGGTGTGTTAGAGGTAACTGGGGGGCGTGTCAGAGGTAACTGGGGGGTATCAGAGGTAACTGGGGGGGTGTCTGAGGTAACTGGGGGTATGTCAGAGGTAACTGGGGGGTGTCAGAGGTAGCTGGGAAGTGTCAGAGGTAGCTGGGGGGTGTCAGAGGTAACTGGGGGGGGGTGTCAGAGGTAACTTGGGGGTGTCAGAGGTAACGGGGGGGTGTCTAAGGTAACTTGGGGGTGTCTGAGGTAACTGGGGGGTGTCAGAGGTAGCTGGGAAGTGTCAGAGGTAGCTGGGGGGTGTCAGAGGTAACTGGGGGGGGGTGTCAGAGGTAACTGGGGGGGGGTGTCAGAGGTAACGGGGGGGGTGTCTAAGGTAACTGGGGGGGTGTCAGAGGTAGCTGGGGAGTGTCAGAGGTAGCTGGGGGGTGTCAGAGGTAACGGGGGGGGGGGTGTCTAAGGTAACTGTGGGGTGTCTGAGGTAACTGGGGGTGTCAGAGGTAGCTGGGGAGTGTCAGAGGTAGCTGGGGGGTGTCAGAGGTAACTGGGGGGGGGGGGGGTGTCTGAGGTAACTGGGGGGGGTGTCAGAGGTAACTGGGGGTGTGTCAGAGGTAACTGGGCGGGGGGGTGTCTGAGGTAACTGGGGGGGTGTCTGAGGTAACTGGGGGGTGTCAGAGGTAACTGGGGGGGGGTGTCAGAGGTAACTGGGGGTGTGTCAGAGGTAACTGGGCGGGGGGGTGTCTGAGGTAACTGGGGGGGTGTCTGAGGTAACTGGGGGGTGTCAGAGGTAACTGGGCGGGGGGGTGTCTGAGGTAACTGGGGGGTGTCAGAGGTAACTGGGTGTGTGTCTGAGGTAACGCTGGTGCCTGTTTTCCAGTTTGAAGTCCTGCTCTGCGTTCAGGATCAGGACGATCCAGCTGTTGACGTCTGTAAGAAGCTGTTGGGTAAATATCCTAACGTGGACGCTCGTTTGTTCATTGGTGAGTAATGTTTTGTCAGTAACGTTTAGTTGCTCCACCTCTTGTTAGCGCTCTCGTTAGCATGAGCTCTTTTTTGTTTGCAGGTGGGAAAAAGGTTGGAATCAATCCAAAGATCAACAACCTGATGCCGGGATACAATGGAGCCAAATATGGGCTGGTGTGGATCTGTGACAGCGGCATCAGAGGTCAGAACCGGATCCTGAGCTATGCTGTGTGTGAGGCATCAGCAGGTGTTGAGTGCTTCGTAGCTGTTGTAGAAGTTACTCCCAGATAGGCGTGGGAATTGATACGTTTTTATCCATATCAATGACATTGTCCATTCTGTCTATTGATCCAGTTCCAGAGAAGTTCAATAGTTGGCAAAAAAAAAAAAAAAACGAATGGCACACGGCCTCCTGCATTAAAACTGGGTTTATTCATGAAAAATAATCAGTTGCACCTGACACGGTTGGAAGATCTTTCCTTTCTGCTCCTGTGAAGGAAGTCATCTTCTAGTTTGGTCGCTGTTGCTGTAGCTGTTGTAGAGAGGGACCATCTCACCACAGATCAGACGGGAGTCTGCTGGTGTGGAGGTGTGTGTGTAAGGCTAATGACGCTAACACGACGGGCAGTGTTACCTGCAGTATTAACAGGAGAGGACGCCTGCAGCTGCGTTGAAACTCACTGGTCCGGGTTAGGTCAAAACACGTCATTACCTCTAAATTATTGCGTATTTCATGCCCAAAGGCTTTTCCCTTCCCTTCATGTACCATCTACTTAGCAGTTGTTGGAAGTTACCCTCTTGGCACGCCTTCTTGTAACCTGTAACCAAACTTTCGAGTGTTTGGGCCACTTAGACGTCATTTTTCCGTCTTCCGTTAGCTACACAACGTGCGCACCGACGTCATTCGCGCCGACTGGAGTAGATCAGGGGAATCGTTTGAAAAGTGGCGAACGATTCCTAGGAATTAAAATCATAGGAACCGGTTCTCAAGAACTGGTTTTCCCAACCCTACTCCCAGACCTGAACCCATCTTGTTCAGAAACACTTCTGGGATTTAAACACAGCACCCAAAAGTGAACGTAACACTTTTAGACATCAGTTCCCATTTGGGAACATCTCCTGGATATCCGCCCTGATACGGAAAGCCAATGTGTTGAGCCTGATTGATTCTCCTGCGTGAGCTCCAGACTGGAGAGACGCAGACGGCGTGTCTGTTCAGGCAGGCTGTTGAAAACAATTCCCCGCCAGGACAACAGCGGGCGTAGCGTTTTCCTGTGGTACCCTGCCACCGTAACACTCGTGTATCCGGTCCCTGACTAATGTGTTTATATGTCAGAGGCTTTGTAACACGGACAACGTTGTCCTTTCTCTTCCACCTCTTGGTGCGGTCGGCACCTCTAAGCCCACGTTTGCCACCGCCTCCGTCCACGTTTGCTCTGTATTTTCTGCTCCTTCAGCCGCAGGTCAACAAACCTTCATATTTTTGGACTTTTTCCGTGATGCTTTCTTCAATCTGTTCTGGGTCTGCCGCTAAGTATCTTTACTTTTTAACAGTGCTGGTGACAATTTATAAAAGGTGGGGTCCTGACCAATCACAAGCTCGCGGTCTCCGTCACTTTGGACAGATGTTTAAAATTTTGGGCACGTCTTTGTCACCCTCTGTGAGCCCGTCGGAGAGCCCGAGGCTTCCCCAGTAAACCGTCCCGCTGCCGTTTTGCGCCGCTGATGCTTGCGGTAGGAAACTCTTTCTTCTCTTCGTGTGAAGGCCTTCTACGGTCTTTGAAAGCCCCAAGGTGCTTTACGTCACTTACTTCTGACCACCACCAGCCATGGTGACTCAGATGGGGGCGCTTCAGTTTGACGGCATCTTCTAACCGCGCGGGTCGGGATTTCCAAGGTCGCGGTATTTAGTGGGATCCCGTGATACACATTTGAAGTGGTCCGACCGAGGGGGTTCTGGTAGTTAGACCACCAAGATGTGTCCTAATACTTTGATTTGAGTCTCTTTCAGTTGTTTAACATTTTGTTGTTTTAGATTTTTTTCCGAGCGATATTCTGTGAACGTTCCATCGTTCTGAAGATGGTTTATCTTCAGGTCTCATTTCAAAAAGAACCTTTTTTTTCTACCTGATTTGATCGTTATTATCATGATGGGAACATCTCATATCAGCCAGCTCAACAGATCAGTAACAGCCCACTTTTGTGCTGCAGTGAAACCGGACACCCTGACGGATCTGACCAATCAGATGACAGAGAAGGTGGGATTGGTCCACGGGTTGCCGTATGTTGCTGACCGCCCAGGCTTCGCCGCCACTCTGGAACAGGTAAGGTCACATTGGAGAGGTAGCTTCACCTGGATCTGCTTGCTAACGGAGGCTCACTTGTCCCAGGTGTACTTCGGGACGTCCCACCCTCGCTCGTATATCTCGGCCAATGTGACGGGGATCAAATGTGTGACAGGGATGTCGTGTCTGATGAGGAAGGATGTTCTGGACCAGGCAGGGGGGCTTTTGGCGTTCGCTCAATACATTGCAGAGGATTACTTCATGGCTAAAGCAATTGCCGACAGGTTACTACTTAGCATTAGCTTGCTGCTGGCGCCATGTTGTTCGGATATGATAACATCCTTCCTGTTTCCTACTCAGAGGCTGGAAGTTCTCCATGGCAACACAGGTGGCATTGCAGAACTCTGGTTCGTACTCCATTGCACAGTTCCAGTCACGCATGATAAGGTGAGCTTGCCCCCTGCTGCCTGATTGGCCAGTCTTTACCAACTCCATGAAAGTAGGGCTTAGAAGGTTCGACGTCATTCCTGCTGTGTGTTTGACCAGGTGGACCAAGCTCAGAATCAACATGGTTCCAGCAACTGTCCTGGAGCCCGTCTCAGAGTGCTTTCTCGCCAGCCTCATCATTGGCTGGGCTGCTCATCATGTCTTCAGGTACAGCCAATCAGAAAACAACAGCTCAGGGTTTGGTGCTTAGAGCAATTCAATTCAGTTTATTTCTAAAGCGCCAAATCACGACGAGTCGTCTCAAGGACCTTCACACAGTAAACATCCCAACACAGGTCAGGTCATTAAGCCAATCAGTAAACAGTTTCCTATATAAGGAACCCAGCAGGTCGCATCGAGTCACTGACTAGTGTCAGAGTGTTTACAGCAATCCTCATACTAAGCAAGCATAAAGCGACAGTGGAGAGAAAAACTCCCTTTTAACAGGAAGAAACCTCCAGAGGATCCTGGCTCAGTATAAGCAGCCATCCACCACGACTCACTGGGGATGGAGAAGACAACACACTCACACACACAGGTTACACTGTGATTTCTTAGTAAATATTCTATTTGGCGAGAGATAAACTTTATTGTATTTATCCTAGTGAATCTATAATTAAACGGGTAAACTAGTAGTAGCACATTCAATGTCAAAGAGAGTAAAATGTTATTATCAGGAGAGGGAGAATGTTTAAGTGGTTAGCAGCAGTGTGCTAGCCGATGGCCCCCTCCATGAGGCCACCACAGCTCAGCAGAACATCGTTGTAGCTTCTTCTGGGGAGAAAAACACTTAGAGAAAAAATAAAGTTAACATCTGAAATAGCAGGAAATAATACAGTTAAAGAGCAGATTGTAGAAGAAAGTAGTCGAGTGTGGAAAGTGGTCAGTGTGTCCTCCAGCAGTCTAAGCCTATAGCAGCATAACTACAGAGATAACCCTGGATAACCTAGCCTTTTAGATGGAGGCATGTTGGAGGCAGGACAAGGGAGAGCCGTCTTTACCGACTGTACACTCCACCTCCCTCTACTCCCCCCACTTGTCCAGATCTAGGCTAACATCAGATTTTAACCATAGACCCTATCAAATAAAAATGTTTTAAGCCTATTCTTAAATGTAGACAAGGTGTCTGCCTCACGGACTAAAGCTGGGAGGTGGTTCCACAGGAGAGGAGCCTGATGGCTAAAAGATCTGCCTCCCGTCCTATTTTTAGATATTCTAGGAACCACCAGTAAACCTGCAGTTAAATAAGGAATAAGTAAGTAAACACTGGAATCATGCTGCTTAGGTTACATGGTGATCTATTAATGAGAACCAGATGGCTGCTGTAGCCCTGACAGACCTGCTGTGTGTTTCAGGTGGGACATGATGGTGTTCTTTATGTGTCACTGCCTCGCCTGGTTCATTGCTGACTACATCCAGCTCACTGGAGTCCAGGTACCTACAGGCTTATATTTTGTAAGAACTCATCCTGGGTTTCACATAAATGAGCCTTATTTCTGTAAGGACTTCTACAGCTCAAGAACCCCCCAAGGTGCTTAACGTCTTTTACTTCTGAGCACCACCAGTCGTGGTGACTCAGACGGGTGCGGCTCGGTTTGTCAGCCTCTTCTCACGGCACAGGTTGGGATTTCCCCGACTGTACCTGTGTCGTCATGCTTCTTAGTGTACGAACCCGGTCCAAAAATGCAACATCAGCAACTGTCATACTGGGGACAGGCCAATACATCGAGCTGATATTTACCCTACTATACACAGAACCAAAATATAAACGCAACACTTTGGGTTTTGCTGCCATTTTTCATGAGCTGAACTCAAACATCTGAAAATGTGTCTACATGTGTTGGTGAGCCCTTTTCCTTTACCAAGGTAACCCATCCACCTCACAGGCGTGGCACATCAAAGGGCTGGAGCAACCCTAACCCACGCTGTAGTGATCCATCAGGTGGAAGTTTGGATCAGAACTTTTTGCTCATGAAGAACCCACAGAACGGTTCTCTTTAACTAAATACGTTTCAAGTCTGTTAACGACATGTAAACAAAGTCTAAAATCTGAGCCTTTAATTGATTGGTGACATCATCAACAGGGCGGTCCCCTGAGCTTCTCTAAGCTCGACTTCGCCGTTGCGTGGTTCATCCGGGAGTCCATGGCCGTGCAGATCTTCCTGTCAGCTCTGTGGGACCCAACCATCAGCTGGAGGACCAGTCGGTACCGGCTGCGTTGTGGTGGCACTGCTGAGGAGATCCTGGATGTGTAGTTGCCACGGCAACCGTATCGTTACAAAGAGGAGCAGAAAGAGACTGATGTTTTATACCAGAGGACACTGAAGCGTGTGTGTGTGTGTGTGTGTGTGTGTTATTACCTATTTATATTTCTTTTGGTGCTACAGTTGAATTATAGGAGAGCTAACCATCAGGGTGCCGGTCGGAGGAACAAACAGGAAGCTGCTGCGCGTGAGGCGTTGCACTGAGTGATCTGATCTCTGACAATAAGAGCTGGGACAAAGTCAGCCAATCAGGACACAGCAACAACTAAACTTTACTCCTAACTAGCTCAAAAGAAACCACAACAAGCAGAATCTCCACAACTCCTCAACTTGTGTCTTATTTTGAAAGTCACAAGAAGTCTGCTGAGTGGTTCTGTTTGATCAAATGTGATTGGCTGATCTGACCGTTGCTGTTAAAGGGATTCAAACCTAAAATTGTTTGCTAGTTTTGCATCCACACCATTCAGCAGATTTTATTTTGGAGGAGCACTTGTCCCCATAAACATCCTGACCCTCTTGGACGCGAGGACTCTGACGAGCCTGAGGTTCAGACCTTCACAAGTTCATACAAAACCTGCACTTAATTTATTTAGTTTCTTGTTTCAACAAACTAATTAAAGCAACTTTTATTAAAACTTAAAACTAGCAACTAAATCTGGAAATGAGTGGAAGTCCTGTCTGATGAGGTCAAAAAAGAAAGTCCCAACTTTGACTTTAAAGTTCTGTTCCTCCCTAAATTAGACTGAAAAGTAAATATTAGATTCTAGAGCTGACCAATCAGAGGAGAGGGTCACCATTAACAAATTCAAGTATTTAAATGCTGAAACGGTCAAAACATTTCAACACAAATGGACCAAAACAACACATTTCTCTGTGTGTGTGTGTGTGTGTGTGTGTGTGTGTGTGTGTGTGTGCGCGCGCGGCCTGTGGAGGTTTGGGTGATGACTTCCACAGTCGGATGAACCTCTGTATGTTTTATTTGTTTCTTGTTGTTATTTTGTAAAGATGTCTGCTGTAGTCTGAACTGACCAATCAGAGTAGAGGATTGTGCCAACACAGTAACGAAAACATTTTCAGTGAAATCTGAGCTGAAAGGTCCCGCTCTGTGATAGGACAAGCTGTGGGTGGAGCTTAAATAGACAGCCCACAGCCATTGGTTGTTAGATTTATTTATTCAGTGATTCATGCTACTTCCTGTCACACGCAGAATAAATAGAATCAACACGTTCCATCATGCTTATCTACTTTTTAAATGCCCCACCACACACACACACACATGCACGCACGACTGTCTCACATTCAGACATTAAACCGCTGACACATCACTCACACGGTTGTGACGTTAGCATGGCCCCATATTGAGAATGGTGAGGTTGTCATGGAGACCAAAATCAGAAGTTTAATGATTCGGGATGAATCGTTTATAAATGTAATTTTTTTGTACTAATGTTGATCAGAGATCAAAACTAATAAGTATAAATCTTTACAATTACTATAAAACACAAAGTACATAAAAAGTACTTTAATTGTGTTTATCGCTGAAGTATCAAAAACTCTTTCATTTGACGTGACCCTGATGTTGGATTACATTGGAACCATCTGATGAACCATTCCTTCCTGATCACATAAGTACATGCTGCCACTCCCAAATCTGCCAGCAGGGGGCAGAGTTTCACTCTGCGAAGGCTACTGCACACCACTCCAGTGTGCAGTAGCGGTTGTTAGTAGAAATACTTGTTTAGAACATATACCACAGGACTGTGATCTGTCACCTGCGGGGAAGGAGCTTACCTGGACAGGTGGGACCAGACAGCTGTTACGGAAGCCTGAAAGTCCAAAAGGTGAGGAGGCATTGAAATAAAGTAGCTTTGTTTAAAATAAAATGTTGCAAAACTGCTAATAATAGTCAACAACTGGGCCTTTCTTAAGTCATTTGCAGCATTTCGATGGATATTTCCAGAGATTAAAGGTAAAACCTACACATTGTCACTTTAATCTCTCTGAGTATCTGAAGGAAGGCGTGATTTCTGAGATATTTTGAGTAACGCCTTTTAAACGTGTCAGATTCTGATTTGTTAACATTTAATACTTACTGGAATCGCTTCCTGATCTAGTAGTTCTCCTGGTTTGGCCGACCAGTGAGCAAGCATCTGGAACGGTCCTATCTTTTGACCTTTACACAACAATGAATTATTTACACGTTGATCCAGATTAACGACTGAAAAAGGGATGCACAGACATCAGATTTGATTGGAACATTTTCATATGAAGTAGAGGTTTTCTATTACTCATCTGTCCACACCAGATGCATAACAGGGAAGTTTTTTTGAACATTTTTTCAAAATAGAGGAATTTATCACATCATTTTTCAAAGTGCTTTAATTTTGAAATTCCACATCAGATGTTGATGACACTTCCTGTGGTGGAACTAGTGGCATTGTATTCTATACCTTTCCTCACCAGAAGCTGGAATAACGGAGATTTTTTGTGTTCTTAACACATTGTGTGTAATATGGTCAGGTTTTTGGATGCATAATTCATCATTTAAAAATAAGCTGTTGGATGGAGTATCACAGGAACAGCGCGAGGTTGTGGAACTGTAAAATAGTTTTAAATCACTATAAACTCAGAGGAACAGAGGGCCCTGGTGCATGTTTTTGTGCGAGGGTCCCCAGTGTAGCTTTTTATTGGTCAAATGTCGTTAAATATCCATTAAAATGGCGCCCCATAATCGGAAGGTTGCAGGTTCAAGCCCCGCTCAGTCTGTCGCTGCTGTTGTGTCCTTGGGCAAGACACTACCCCACCCCCCACCCCATGCCTGCTGGTGGTGGTCGGAGGCAACCGTGGCGCCAGCGCGCGGCAGCCTCGCCTGTCAGTGCACCCCAGGGCAGCTGTGGCTACATGGTAGCTCATCACCTCCAGAGTGTGAATGACTGATTGTTGTAAAGTGCCTTGGGGAGGGGGGTCCAGGACTCTAGAAGGCACCATATCAAATACAGGCCGTTTACCATCAGAAAATATGCTTCTGAGATGGGCTTTTATTTTGAAAAACAGTGGCCCGACCATTTATGTTTATGTATGTAGCAGACGCTTTTGTCCAGAGCAACTTACAGGTGATAATCAGGCCAGCAGGTTGTTATTGAGGCTAACGACAAACACTAATCAGTCAAGCCTAGGTGGCAGCATGATTAATCATAGAGGGAAGTGGACAGTAGAGAGGGGGACGGGTGCTTAGAAGATGCTCTCTGAAGAGCTGGGTCTTCAGGAGTTAGACTAGGAAGCCCCTGTTCTGGTAGTGCTTGGTAGGTCATTCCACATCCGAGGAACGACACACGAAGAGTCTGGATCGTCCTGAGCATGGTGTAGGCTCTGCAAGCCGACCATCCTTTGATGACTGGGGCGGCTGGGCCGTGATGTACGCCTATAAGAGGATTCAGGTAGATGGACTTTGTATCCTCTCCACCGTCGCTGCAGGCTTGCTCAGGATGAGGATTGCTGTAAAGACTCTGATTCTAGTCAGTTGAGTAGAATAGAAAAATATTGGCAGCTTCTTACCGTAAAACCATAAAAATCAGGTCTAAAGTACATATTGTGGAAGACAGAATACGGGAGTTTCCAGATTCTGGGGGCGTGGCGACTGGACGCCGGCTGGTGCTCGTCAGGCGTAATGAGGCCGGAGAGGAGAAAAGGGTGGCAGATCTACCAAAGTGTGTGTGTGGTCGACCTGTGTGTCATTGTGGCACCTGGTTCTGTGGGGTCGGATCATTCGCAGTTGGTTAGGACTGCTGGCGATGAAGACAGCTGAGTAGGTGGGCAGTGTTCCGGCGCTAGGAGGGGAGGCTTGATGCCTTCTTTAGGTAGTGAGGGCTGGGAGTAGTTGGGTGCCAAGACCACGCCGACATCTGCCGCCGCAGACTCTGACAGCCGGACCCGAGCCGTGGACTCACCCGCCGTCCTCGCAAGCTGAGCCCCGGGGCGTTGGACGGTGTCGGAACTCAGACCCCGGGGAGGGGGTCGCATCGACTGGGCCAGCTAAATACCCACTTGCTTGATTTTACTTATGCTGAACAGCTGGGTTTTATTGTGAAGGAACTCGGCCGTAGTGTTTTATTGTTGGTTGTGTTAATAAAGGATCTTTTTGATAAGTTGCTGCCTACTGTTGCTGTTTTGGGGTTCTGACTGGAGGGTAAGATATTCTGCCCGTGCTCCCACTGAAACTTATATTACAATAAGGTGCGGGTCAAGCCTCTTTGGGGACGCCATGTTGGCCTGTTGACGACGTCACACCAGGTCACTGGCTGAACACACGTTTGGAAGTAACGTTACCTCGTTCAAAAACCTTTCGGCTGTAAGAAACACGAATTTAATAACAAAACTGCTAAACCCTTCCAAAACATACATAAAAGAACAGAATTTAAAAAAGAGCTGCAATATATTCATGTTGAGCGGTACGGTGGCATCATCGACAGGCACAAGCCTCAGAGCAGATCCGGAAAGTACAGCACCTGAAACCACGGGCATTGCGTTCTCTTATGGAATTACCTGAAGAACCATCAAAGTCTGAGGAGTCACACAAGGCTGCTTTCTTTCTGCTCCACAGGTAACATTTACTGTAATGTTTTTTAACTAGTGTGGTGTGAAGAGGGTGGAGTTAACCTTCGAGGGCCAGGTGTGATGTATTAGCGCACTGATGAGGGCACGGAATAGATACTGGTGACGCAGCGCCCATCAAAATTATCCAGCCCTCCCACAGTCCATGGGCGGCTCCAGTGATCTTAAGCCGGGCGTACACTGTGCGACTTTTTCACTTTTTTGAGCAAATTTTCCACTCGTGCGAGAATCCACGAGATCGGGGCGAGTTTTGCGCCGAGCGGTCGTGTAGTGTACAGGGGGTTACGAGAGGCGATTAACACCACGTGACCAGCTACCGATCAGCAATTGTGAGCTCGCACGGACTTCTGGCGTGTTTAATATTTCGCTCGTCCCTCGTGAGGGTATCGCACTGTTGAAGCGGCGCTGCGAGCAGCTGCGCCCCAAAAAGTATCAGAACCGCTTACGGCGCATGCGCAATCCTGCATCAACGCCGCTCCCCGCTATTTCCCTAATAACACACGCTGTTCGTTTTTGTTTCTACACGTTTTTTTTTACTCACGAAGATTGTCAAGAAAGCGTGTTTGTCGTGTTCATGTCAAATTAAACTGATCACAAAACACAGATTTACTTTCTTTATTTTGTTTTCCTCATCCAACCCCCATAAATCCCTGTGTGTCCTCCTGCAGCACTCCCGAAGGACAGCAGGCAAAACAAGACCAAAAAGTCTGACGTGTTGAGTAAAAACTGCTATTTTTAGCATATTTTTAGGGCCGACGTGTTGCTACCAGACGTACAGTGTGAGCAGTCAGGTCGCATCCGAGAACTGGGTCGTGCAGTGTGAGCGCATGGCTCGTGAGATCTGCCCTGCGAGGAAGTCGTACAGTTTGAGCTGAAGCTGAGTGCTATGAGTGAAAAAGTCGCACAGTGTACGCCCGGCTTTAGTGAAAAAGGGCGGTGGATTTAGGTTCTGTGTAGATTATCGGAAACTTAACGAGGTTACCAGAAAAGATTCTTATCCTCTCCCCCAGATAGATGATGCATTGGACAGCCTTGTACATGCATGTTGGTTCTCGATATTAGATTTGGCCAGCGGGTATAGGCAAGTAGAGGTGGAGCCGAAAGATCGCCCTAAGACAGCGTTTGTTACTCGTCAGGGGCCGTTTGAATTCAGTGTATTGAGTTTTGGACTATGTAATGCCCCGGGTAACTTCCAACGTTTGGTGGATTTGATCTTGGCCGATCTGCAGTGGACAACATGCCTGGTCTATTTAGATGACATCATTGTGTTTGGGCGGGACTTTCAGGAACATCTAGTGCGCCTTGACCAGGTGTTGGAGAAGTTAAAACAGGCTAACCTTAAGGTTAAACCCTCCAAATGTAATTCGTTTGCTACACAAGTCTGTTATTTAGGCCATGTGGGCAGTTAGAGAATGGCCAGTGCCCTGTACCCAGTCAGAATTGCAGAGCTTTTTGGGTCTAGCATCCTATTACAGGTGTTTCATCAGAGGGTTTGCACATATTGCTCGGCCCTTGCAACAGCTGGTGGAGAAGGGAAAGCGGTTTCAGTGGTCTAATGACTGTCAGGTGGCATTTGATGGCCTTAAAGCCAGATTAATAGCCGCTCCAGTCCTGGCTTACCCAGATCCTGATAAACCATTTATTTTAGATACCGATGCAAGTGATGTTGGGATTGGAGCAGTGCTGTCCCTGGTAGGAGGTTTGGGAGAGCGGGTCATAGCATATGCTAGTCGGGCGCTGACAAAACAGAAACGCAGTATGCTACCACAAAAAAGGAGTTGTTGGGCATGGTGGTGTTCACTACACACTTCAAGCATTACCTCTTAGGCAGAGAATTTGTCCTGAGAACTGATCATAACTCCCTCAGGTGGTTGCACAACTTCCAGGGTTTGGAGGGGCAGTTGGCTAGATGGGTGGAGAAACCGGCTTGTTCTCAGTATAAGATCGTTCACCGCCCAGGGAAGCTGCATTGTAATGCGGATGCCCTCTCCAGGTTAACATCAACCCATGGCGAGCCACAATTATTGGGGAAGGTGGGCTGGCAGGACCAAGACTGCCAAGTAGAACAAAGGGTGGATTCTGTACAGGTGGAGGAGGGGCGTGCCGGTCAGGGTTGTAGGATGCCCAAGCCCAGGCGGATGATCCGGTGCTGCAGCGCATTATCATTGTTAAGAAGTCTGGGGGGTCCTGTAGCCCAGCTGAGGAGGAATGTCTGCAGCCATTCGCCAATGTGTGGGATCAGCTTAAGCTTCAGGGGTCCAGGCTCGTGCGTGTTGCTCCGGCTTACTCTGATGCTGCCTCCCATGTGCAGGTTGTCCTGCCACAGTCTATGGTGCCTGATGTCCTGAGGCAGTTGCATAATGTCCCCACTGGAGGACATTTGGGAGTACAGAAAGGAAGGTGTGGCGTAAAGTACCCTGAAGTGGCTGGAAACGACACTGCAGCTTTAACATGAACTCGTGACAGGAACCTCACCAGGGTTAGGTTAGCAGCACAATGTTCCTCATTTTACATAAACTCACTGATCAAAATCCGACTCAGCCCGCCGAACTTACTGAGTCTCAGGTCTCAGGTTAGAAGTCCAGCGCTCAGCCCTGCAACGCCACATGAAGGCGGACCAATATTTCCTACTCTGGAAGTGGAGAGGGCACGCCTCACCCTGCCATGATGGACGCAACGGCGGCGCCGTGGTTAAGACATTCCACTATTATCTATATCCGGGGCGACGGTGACACAGGAGCTAAGTGCTCACCCCATAATCAGAAGGTTGCAGGTTCGAGTCCTGCTCATTCTGTTGCTGTTGATGTGTCCTTGGGCAAGACACTTAACCCCCCAGTGGTCGGAGGGACCGGTGGCGCCTGTGTACGGCAGCCTCAGTCGATATGGCTGTGGCTTTATCGTAGCTCATCCACCACCAGCATGTAAATGTGAGTGAATGACCGATTGTGTTGTAAAGCGCCTTGGGGGGTTCCAGGACTCTAGACGGCGCTATATCAAATACAGGCCATTTACCATCGAGCTGTACTGTTTCTGTTTACAGAGTGTGCTAAAGCAGTAACATGATGGTAAGATGGATGGTCCGGGTTTTGTTCTGATGCAGTCAGGTGGATCTGAAGTCTTACACAAAAACAGGAAGTGATGTCATGAAGGGTTGGTAAATGGTTCCAGGTTTAAGGCACACCCTCTCTGGTTAGTCTCTGCAGTCTAAATAAAAAAAACAATAAGCTGGTTTAAAATCAAACGTAAAGAAATAAAAGGTTTGTGAAGTTTCGATATAAAAATCCAAAACGATCCTTTATTTTCTTCTCCGGACAAGTAGAGTCGTTTCATCACAGCAATACATGAATAAATAAACACAATTCAACATGGATGCACCGTCTGCAGCTCACGGTTTCCATCAGCTTGTTTCCTGTTTTAGAAACAAAACCTTAAAACGGGTATGAGTGGGCGGGGCATCAGTCGCACAGTATTACAGTAAAAACACTCCCAGAACACAACACATCAAAACCAAGATGTTCAAGTGAAACAGCAGAACAGCACCCCCTATGGGCCAAACCTCCAGAAAAATAAGGCACAGAAGACCATCAGTGGACAAACGCCGACATATCAACAATAAAAAACATCACAATAACAAAGATGATGAATCCAGCCAATGAGACAGCAGCAGGATGTGTCACAACCAACCAGGTAGCTGTTCCAGAGAGCAAGATTTTCCCAAATCAGGCTTTCTTGTGAGATTCCCGATGTAACCGCCCCAAATCGGTTCGACCAATGTGGCTAGCCTGAAGCCCCTCCCAGTCACCATGGTAACGCATGCTGGCTGGAGAACAAACGTGCTCCGTGGCAGCTAGGCTAGCTAACACTTTGTGAATAAGATTGGATGAGGCAAGTGACGCCACCTTTTTCTTGCCGTGGCTGGCAGCTACGAGGTGGTGAATTAGCGCCGCCACTGGCCCACAGCAGCAGCTGCAGCTTTGTTCTTGATGGATGAGTTATTAATAAATGTGGAGTTTAAACATGAGCTGTAACTGGATTTACATCTTTGTTGTATTTAATGTTCATTTGCAGCGTCTGATTCCACTGATGTCAGCATTATTAATAATTATACATCAGCTTTAGTCTGGAATGGACCCATATCATTAACACGCTGTCCTCTTTATGTTAAATAGCCTTAGACTAGCTTACAGCTGCTAACATAACACATGTAAGCTACTTTACTGGTGTGACTATATATGTGGTCACACATGTCAAATGTCTGATTTTAATGACCTATGTGATGTTTTATCCTCAGCGTGTAATAAGAGAGCTAAACGGTTTCCAGCGCTAACTTTAGGGTCACATGACCACAAACGTATATTCTTAGAGCTCACAGCTGCTCAGCAGAAACCTCCAGACTCTGGAGCAGAACATGAAAACCACATAAATGATGAAACTTTAACAAAGCAGGTGGAGAAATGAGCTGAAGTGGACTTCTGGCGTTGCCATGGAGACATGTAAACTCTGCAGGCTCTGACTAAACAGCTCCAGCTGCACGTGTCAGATCTTCAGGTATCTACGCCCAGCAACGCTCTGAGGACCTGAGGAAGCAGTCACCTGGTAGAACCGGGTCAGAACTGAACAGGTGAAGCTGCTTTTAGCTACGATGCTGCTCACAGATGGAATCAGCTTCCTCATGACCTCAGACGTCCCGACTCTAGAAACCTTTAATAAAAGTTGTTGTGCTGCACCTTCTGCGCCATAGCTGCTCACCTTTAACTTTTGTTTCTTTTTCATCTGAAACTGTTTTCTGTCACGTTGATGTAAATGTTCCTGCTAGTGGAAGGCACACTGACTTGCCTCTGTGAAGGAAATGTGCTCCAAAAACAGCGCTGCCCTGCCTACACAGCTTTAACCAAGCAGCTCATGGTCTCTGTTCTAGTTCTGATGTCTCCGTAGTCCTCGTAGTCATGAATGCACAATTACTGCTCCATCTGGATGAAGAACGAGGCTCTGTCCTTTCCTTCCATCGTCATTTATCTGCAGTCGATTAACGGGGCTGTCTGTGGACGCGCGTGAGCCTCGCTTCCATTAGAGGGGATTGAATCCACCTGAGAATCTTTCGTGGAACTGACAGTAGGGGTTTATCTGGAGAGCCTCGAAGTTCTAAACTCGCTTCGTGGAACACCCCCTGGTCCGTGACTGCTGACGTTACCACACACTCACATCAGCAGTCACACTCCATTACCCAAAATGCACTGCTACTCAGTCTTCTCAGGAATGTGCTAACAAGCTCTGGCTGTGTCTCAGTCACGGTTGCAAGCCGATTGGTGGTCCCCGTGCTCTGATTGGCTGCTGAGCTCTGAAGGCAGCTGTCAGATGATGGACTTGGAGAAGGAGACCCGAAGGTGCTGGTTGTGGTCCAGTTGGTGGTCATGTAGCTCAATCAGAGCCTCAATGGCCTCCTCCACTGAGGCCACCTGCATCAGAGCCATCCTCCTGTCCTTCCTGTGACATCAAAGGAAGTGACATCATCACACAGGACCACAGAAAACAGCTGTTTTCAAAGGTGTAGTCTGGTTGTTGACCAGCAGGGGGAGACCTAGCTTACAATTTGATTGACTAATACACACAGACAGACACACACACACACACACACACACACACACACACACACACACACACACACACACACACTAAGAACTGAGCTGGATGCTGTTAGTCATAATTCTTCATAACTGATGCTTAAGTGGTTCCACGTCTCCATGGTAACATTACTGTCTTCCCAAAGCTCGCACCTCCTTTGGCCGCTCCTCATTCCAGTTTTTCTGCTTCCAATGACTGGAAGTAGCTGCAGGAACCACTGAAGCGCACTGCCTACGTTCATTATCTACCGTCAGTAATCCATGGTGATCATTAGTTTCTGATCGATGTTCTTCTGAGTGTCAAAGACTGTTTCGTCTGTTCTGGTTGCTCGTACATGTTATAAATGAGAACAGTCCTTATATCTAACAGTTTTGTTTTTATCTTGCATGTTTATAACTCACTCACTGCCAATGACGACAAAAGTCGTCATTTTAAATCCACGTGTTAGCTCGTTTTGGGCCGCTGCTGTAAAAAAAGTGGGGCGCGAACCGGAGAAGCTTCTGCCGATAACAAATCGACAACGGATTATGAAAGAATTGATAACGCTCGAGAGGCGCGGATCCTTCCTGATGTAAGAGGTGAGTCTCTGCTTTGTTTTGCTAATTTTGGCGTTGACATCATCCTAGCACGCAACGTTCTGTGACTCTTAAACACACGCTGGCAGCGAATGAGTTAACCTGCTTTTGATGTCAGTCTAACGATGTGTCTTTGCTGGCAAAGGTTCTCGGTCATCCAGGTCATGGTAATCAGGGAGACGCTTCGCTGCTCATCTGAGGAGCTCCGTCACTTCTGACTGGAATATGGAAATCAGAATCAGAAATCAGAAAAGCTTTATTTGTCCCAGAGGGACATTAGAGTTTCAGTACACACAATTCAACAAGAATTGGTGACTGTGGTCATTCCAGAGTATCTGCAGGTTTAAGGGAGCCAAATTTAAGACTTTTTAAGACCTTTTTTAAGGCCACTTTGACCAAATTTAAGCTAATTTTTTAAATTAAATTTCTGCTATAATTTCCAGCTATTGCCTGGAACCGGTGCTAACCTCGTCGTGAACGTGGGATTAGCAATCCATTTACCATTAAACTTGCACTTCCCCATGGCGCAAGCTCCCACTAGCTTAACCAGCTAATGTGCTCATCTAAAAATAGTCCCCTTTCACAACCAACTGAATGTGTACGGTTCTGCTTACGCCAATATCGTACACAAAAAAGCTGAACACTAACTAAAAATTAACAAAAATTTCATAGAAATAAAATAATCTAGTTTATTGGGTCTTTAGTCATTTAAGACCTTTGGAAACTGTATTTAAGGATTATTTGTCATTTTTAATGATTTTCAAGGCCTTATATTTGGAAAAGTAAATTTAAGACTTTTTAAGACTATTCAAGGACCCGCGGATGTCATTCGCAACCCGAGTCGCACTACCTATGGGAGAGTCTCGCTTATAAGCTGTAGCGGTCTGTTCTCACAGACCCATATTCCCATATTCCAGTCAGAAGTGACAAAGGTCCACAGATGAGCAGCAAAACGTCTTCAAGAAAGCGAAAAAGTCCAGCTGCTTCATGTGCCCCTCTCTGGACTAACCGTGTCTGCTGCTGCTGCCTCTGGGCCAGCGAACGAGCTCTCAACTGACGCTTCTGCTTCAATAAATGTTAAAATAAAGAAAAAATAAAACACACACAGAGGCTCACAGCGGCATTGTGACATCATAATGTACCAGCTGACGTCATCGGGTGCCTCTTAGCCAATAGCGATGGCAGATTTAAACTCAAATGCAGTGAAGAAGAAGAAAATATCATTTCTCAAGCGCCTCTCAAGATAAAAATCACGAGGCGCTTCACAAAAACAAAAAACGTAAAAATATAAAAATAATTTAGAAAATGATTGAAAACATACTTAAAATGAGCAAAAAATAGACATTTGTGATTAAAAATGTTAAGAAAGAGAGAGAGTGAACAGGAAAGAGGGAAATCAGTGGATCCTGAGGAAGGTGGGGTAGGTGGGGAGAGCAGAATAAAGAGAGAGTGGTGAAGAAGGTGCAGTGAACGGTGCAGAGTTTGTACCTGAAGATGCAACACTGGCAGTTTCAGGCAGAAATGTAAACTTTTACTAAGATGCACTAAATCATAACTACTCATGTCTACGGCACGATTAGACACTCATTTATTTAGTTTATCAGTAAAACTGTTGATTTGGGGGACTTGCTCTTTAAGCTTGTCCTTCAGAAGTAGGTTTCAGTGATTTTTGAGGTAAAAACTTAACCAAACTCAGATGTGACAGCACTATGCTGACCAGAATCCACGGGTTTGTGGGACTGGTAAGTTCAGTAGGTGGAGCTTCATGACTGTTAGCTGTTTACTCAGCCAATAACTTACGTAAATGCAAGTTGTTAGTTTTTCAGCTCATCAACAAAAAACACAGGAAGAAGTTTTCTGTTGGTAACATGGCAAAGACTGGAAGTAAAAGTAATAAAGTTATGTCCTAGATGTCTGAGACGAAGCAAAGAGCTAAAACCAGAGCGAACATCAGCGCGGACTACACTAGGCTACAAAATCACAGACTGATGGTGACCTGGCTTTGTTGCTGCGGGACTTGTAAGTAATTATAGTCTTTGTACAACAGTATGAACCTTTCACCTCATGGCTTATTTAGTATCAGTTGGCTTGTGTTAGCATTAGTTCGTTGTTAGCATTAGCCACAGCAGGCTGCTGCAGGGTTGTTTACAACAGTTGAAAGTAGGGTGGAAGAGCAGGAAACTCAGTGTGACTTTACAGATACTCAGAGACAAAAACAGCTGTCTCAGGTTTGATGCTTGACCTGAACAACGGTGTTCCTTACCTGAGAATTCCTGTTTAGAAACGTCTGACCTGACCAGTTACCACGCAGTCCAAATTGCCCTAAAGTCCAGGTCCAGGTCCCATTAGCTGAAAACTCAGTTCTAAACTCGTTTTAGTCATTGAGCCACCGAACACGTTGCTGTTCTGAAACTAAAAAAGTCCAAGAGATCCCAAAAGCGGAACGCCGCCAGTACTTACTGGAAAAACTTGAAGGCTTTGACAGTGTACCCTCTGGAGGAGAATAAATCCTTCAGCGCCTCTTCACTGACGGAGGAGCTAGGAGACATGGACAGAAGGACACAGAGACAGTAAGACACAAACCAACAGCCAGCGCAGTGCGACAGGCAGGAAGTGGGCGGTCTTACGAGATGTTGGACAAGTGCAGCGTTGGTGATGGAGGGAAGATGTTGTTGAAGTTTTTCGATCCAGGTTTTTTGAAGCGATGGAGGGCGGAGCCTGAGAAATCCTGAGTCAGCACCTGCTCCTCTTGCCCCGCCCCCCCACGAGGCAGCTGCACCATGGGGTGTTTGGACAGCGTGACGCGGATCACGTTGCCATGGAGACGCTGACCATTCAGGTGACTCATTGCTGCCAGAACATGAACAAAAGATGACATGTTCTAAAATATCACAAAAAAGTTCCTGTTTTTAAGTGATAAAAGCTGCCCGGGGACATGCTGACACAGGCTGACCACCACCAGCAGCGGCAGGGGGGTAGTGCCTACCCAAGGACACAGCGACTATGACGGACTGAGCGGGGATCGAACCTGCAACCCGCCGGTCATTGGGCGGGGCCTTAGCTCCTATGCCACCATTACCCTGGGATGACGTGTGAGTGAATAAAGACGTGATTCTGACCGAGCTGGGCTTGCGTGGCGTCGCTCATCTGGACCAGAGCGTTCTCATTCTTGTTGAACAGGATCTTCACTCGCTGCACGTCTCCATAAACACCTGAGAACAAAAACAACAGGTGAAGAACACCAGAGGCCATCTGCAGGAAAACACGCAATTCTGACAGGAATCTTACCAAACAGGATGAAGAGGCACAGTGGTGAAACTCTCTGCAATCAGCAAACACAAGGGATCAAAAGATGCACTCTGATTGGTCAAAAGCTGTCTGAAAGTGTGTGCTTGTGCCCTCTGACCTCTGGGTTCAGGTTGGACACCAGCAGCACTGATTGGACAACAGGGGATGCAACCTGTAGAGCAACACGAGGGGGAGAAACCAAGGAGCCAGGAACAGCTGCCACAGGCACACCTGGGAACGGAAACACCTGTATTTATAACACACCCTTGAATGGAAACAACTGTATTTATAACACACCCAGGAACAGAAACACCTGTATTTATAACACACCAGTGAATGGAAACACCTGTATTTATAACACACCCTTGAATGGAAACACCTGTATTTATAACACACCCAGGAACAGAAACACCTGTATTTATAACACACCCAGGAACAGAAACACCTGTATTTATAACACACCAGTGAATGGAAACACCTGTATTTATAACACACCCTTGAATGGAAACACCTGTATTTATAACACACCAGTGAATGGAAACAACTGTATTTATAACACACCCAGGAACAGAAACACTTGTATTTATAACACACCAGTGAATGGAAACATCTCTATTTATAACACACCCAGGAACAGAAACACCTGTATTTATAACACACCCTTGAATGGAAACACCTGTATTTATAACACATCCAGGAACAGAAACACCTGTATTTATAACACACCCAGTAAGAGAAACACCTGTATTTATAACACACCCGTGAATGGAAACAACTGTATTTATAACACACCCAGGAACAGAAACACCTGTATTTATAACACACCAGTGAATGGAAACATCTCTATTTATAACACACCCAGGAACAGAAATACCTGTATTTATAACACACCCAGGAACAGAAACACCTGTATTTATAACACACCCAGTAAGAGAAACACCTGTATTTATAACACACCAGTGAATGGAAACAACTGTATTTATAACACATCCAGGAACAGAAACACCTGTATTTATAACACACCCAGGAAAAGAAACACCTGTATTTATAACACACCCTTGAATGGAAACACCTGTATTTATAACACACCCAGGAAAAGAAACACCTGTATTTATAACACACCCTTGAATGGAAACACCTGTATTTATAACACACCCTTGAATAGAAAAACCTGTATTTATTACACACCCCGGAACAGAAACACCTGTATTTATAACACACCCGTGAATGGAAACACCTGTATTTATAACACACCCAGTAAGAGAAACACCTGTATTTATAACACACCCGGGAACGGAAACACATACACAAGAATGTGTATAATGGCCTCTAATTATTGTTGAAATCTACCAGCGATATAATCAATCATTAGTGTAAGCGTATAACCAAAGATACTACAACATGGAACGGAAACACCTTTACTGGTAACACACCTGGAGCACCTATAGTGGCTGTGATCACAAACTTCAGCTGACTGTCAAGCGTCAGACCAGGAAACAGCTGACATGTGGATGGAGTCTTGTGAAGAGAACAGCTGATAACACACCTGTGTGTGTCACAGTGGCACCAGCAGAAGCATTCACACTCTGACTCACCTGTGTGTTGGTGGAAAGTGGGTGGAAAAGCTGCTGCTCCATAGGGTGGAAGGGCTACACCTGAAGCGCACACAAGTAACCAGATAAGCTCCACCCCCTCACAATATTACCACAATGCCTGCAGCCATAAGCACCGCCCCTTAGCATACCAAAGGCGGCGGGCTCCAGCTCGCCGGTCGGCAGGTCGGCCCTGGTGAAGTCACGGCTCTTGTCGTTGTTGTATTTGACGTTAAGCGCTGTGAGCTTAGAGAAGTCCACTCGGAGCATGCAGCAGCCGTTGTAGATGTTCTGGCCATCCAGAGTCTGAAAGATGCAACCATCTGATTGGTCTAGACACCTGTCTGTCTGTGTGTGTGTGTGTGTGTGTGTGTGTGTGTGTGTGTGTGTGTGTGTGTGTGTGTGTGTGTGTGTTGCGTGCGTGCGTGCGTGCGTGCGTGCGTGTGAGAGAGAAACTCACTGCCTTGGCATGCTGAGCGTGAGCGGTGTCGCTGAACTGCAGCAGAGCCTGAAACTGATTGTTTCTTGTAAAGGTGATGATCTTTAACACAGAGCCAAACTTACTGAAGATCTGAAACAAACAAGTAAACATCAAATAAACAACTAATGTACAATAAAGCCAGAGCTTAATACCAAGTAAACAATAACATGAAAATAAAAATATGTCAGTTACAGACAACATATCAACAAATAAACAAGAGGTTAGCATGTAAACAACAACTAGGGTTGCAACTGACAATGAAATTTCATTCAATTTATTTACATGTTTGTTTATATAATCACAACAATCACTTTGATCATTATATTGCAAAGTTTCTTCAATTCTGCAAAGGCTGTTGGTAAGAAAGATGAACTTGCTGTACCCGTCCCGACAGTTATGGCTTCTCGCTTGAAGCCTTCCTCGTGGGTTTTCATCTGTGGGCGCGGCTCATATCCAGAATCCTCGGTGCACGTCGTGTGGGAGGGATGAGCACATCTGTCCTGCACCACGGATTCCAGATGGCAGCCATGTCCACTGTCGGGGCGGGTACTACAGCACGTTCATCTTTATTAACAACAATACTTCCCGAATAGAAGAAACTTTGCAATAAAAATGTGGAGAAAATACTAGTCTGACCAGCCAGAAGCGCGGGGTCTGGGAACGCTCCTATTCCAATAACCCCACCCTCCGAGAATTCTAACCGGCCCAATCAGCGCTGAGTACGGGTTAGGGTCACACACAACAACGCCAAGTTTGTTATAAACATGGCGTCTGAAGCGGAGCTCGCTGCGGCTCTTTCCTCTGGTCTAAATGACCTGGATGTCTTTAAAACAACAAGTAGAAGCGCTAAAAGCCTTTCTTATAAAGAAAGACGTCCACGCCGTCGCCAGACGCCTGTTTTGACTACAGCTATAAACGACAGCGTCGCGCAGTACGGTCGGCATTTCCGTCTTTTTTTCTGATTGGTTATTTTTGAGCTGCCTAGTCCCGCCCCTCATGTGTCTCTCTGCCTGTGAGGATCCAGACTCGTTCTCTGTGTAGAGGACGAGTCTGGCAGGCCAGGCTAGAGCCACTTCCTGTGGGTTCACCTGCTTCAGGGCTTCAGCCCCACCTGAGCATGTCCACCTGCAGATGCAACCGTTTGTGCTTTCAGAAACAGTCCAGAGGGTTTTACAGAAGAAAAGCCGCGTGTTGAAGTCCACTTAACATTTTTATTCCAGCGAATCTGGGTTAGGGGTTGGGGTCCCTGTGCTCTGGGACAGCTCCTGGATCTCTGGGACTTGGAGCTCCCTCTGTCTCCTACACATCTATGGGGGGCAGATCTGTGGCCCCTCACGCTCTCTATTGGACGCTCCTATAGAGAAACCTTACATAAACAAGCGCGTGTGCGCTCACAGGTGCTCACATGGTGCTCTCATAAGTATGGACTTGGGCACGTTCAACACATCTTAAGGCTGTGGTTGGCACTAAATGCACTGTGAGTTATTATCGTGATTCTCAGCATAAATAGTTACTTTTATATATCATGATGTTGTTTGCAAAGTGATATTCAGGTTTTGTTGTATTTTTGTCTCCTTTTTCTTTTTTTCTGCAGGCCTAGAAGCAGATTCTTCTTCATCATTTATTGTTTATTTTAGTAAACAATCATTCAGCCCTAGTTGTCGATTATATCAACAAAACGTGTAAACCATGATGTCAGCAACAACAAGAAGTGGAAACAGCAGAGCTGCTGACCTGCTGGAGAACCTCCAGAGTCACCGGATAAAACAAGTTTTCGACAATGACTCTCAGAACCGGACTTGGAGCAAGAACCAGGCCCCACCCATCTCCTGAAGACATGTTCCCAGGAAGCACTGCTGCTGTGCTGACGGCCTGCAGCGCCGCCTGAGCCCTCTGTCAACAAAGAGACAGAATAACTCAGAGGAGCAGGAAGCTGTAAAGGGTTAGGGTTGGATAACAATGTCATTACAACTGCAGCTCAACCAATTAAAACCTTTGCTAAATGATTATTATAATACTAATAAACTTTATTTATATAGCACAATTAAAATGACCCCACATACCCTGGAATGTAAAAGCATTTTAACAAAACAACAATACCCCCTCATTACACTCGTGTTCCCACACACACACACACACACACACACACACACACACACACACACACACACACACACACACACACACACACACACACACACACACACACACACACACACACACACACACAGAAAGAATAAAAGAAACATTTCAGAATAATTCTAAGGTGGATTTACCCTGTGAAAACAGAAATTATTCTTTTGAGAGCATTTTGAAACTGTTCCAGGAGTAAGTCTGATATGGGCAGTTTGAAAATGCTTTTATTTTTTAAAGCAAAATCAGAATAACTTGATATTGATACAGTATCACTGTGGGGCTGTATACTGTTGATCTAAAGTGGAATTACCCTGTGGAAACAGCGATTTTCTATTTTAGAGCATTTTGAAATCACTGAAAATTAGGTCAATTGTGGAAAATTTAAAAAGGCCTTTATTTTGGAAGGCAACATCAGAATGACTTGATATTTATATGGTATCACTGTGGAGTTGTATGTTGTTGATCTAAAGTAGATTTACCCTGTGGAAACGGCAATTTGCTATTTTAGAGCATTTTAAAATCGTTAAAAGTAGGTCAAATATGGACAATTTGAAAGGCCTTTATTTTGGAAGGCAACATCAGAATGACTTGATATTGGGGATCCTTGGGATGCAAACAAGCATTCCAGCTCCTGTTGCGACTCGGAGATATCTCTAGACCGGACGGGTCATATCGGAGCTAATCTACGGCTTTGGATACCTTGAGGTCACCTGACTTCCGACTTTCCTGGATCTGCACTGAGGGTCTCCACACGGGTAGTAGACACAACAGATCAGTCGGATGAATTTTATAAATAAACAACTCTCTAATTTATAACAAACAAATTATTTTACACCAGATTTCACAATTTCTCTCAGATACAAAGAACGGTTGCTACAACACCTCACATCCACCACACCACACACATTATTCACACATCTGTCATGTATAAATTATTAGTTTAGGAAAAAGAATTAAACTAATTTTATAAACTACATACTGACTTTCTGCATTAATACGAAGTGTGTTTATGATCCCTGAAGAAGCAAAGAACCAGAAAATCTTCTGATTAAACATTCAAAGATCAGGTTGATATTTCATATTTATATGGAACCATCACATCTTATTGGTCATAATTAACTTGTAGTTTCACACTACATATCCTATGAATGTTTTCCAATATGAAATCTAATATATTCTTGCACAAAAGCCAATTTGGCTCATCACCTCTAATCGGTTTACTTTCTACTTTTGTGTTTGATTTCTTGGTTTGACACATTGTCTTGAAATAACTTGATTCAATGTTACACCCTAGTGTTATTTTTCACAATGTTGCAAAATTAATGTTGGAAAATGTTTTAAAAAGGTATTCTTAGATTAACTATTTGTTAAATCGAGAATTAACTGGATCATACATATACATCCTTATAAAATGACACAGGACCACTTTATATTTTAACAGGTTTATTGTAATAATGCGGAGCACGAACAACAGATAAAGGTAGAGCGGATGTGTTATAGTCCAGATTATTTGAAAAAGGAGACAACACAAGTCCTGTCTGGCAGTGTGGGTGACCACCCATCTCTCTACTGGTGTCTGAGCCACAGGTACAAGCCCAGCAGAATTACTAGAAGAATGATCAAAAATTCTCAAACACAGGTATCAAAACACAAACCAAGATGTGGGGAACCTCACTACAACCAAGGTGATGTGTTTGTGGGGGTGAACAGAGCAGACACATCAACATTTGGCTGTAAAAGTGGCTGCAGCAGCCTGGGTGCACCTCCTCTGAGTAAAATGCCCATAGTTGTCCTCTTTTCCCAGTGCCAACATATCCTGCAATAAGAAATAATTAAATGAAATCAGAGAGAAGAATAGGCTCCAAGCTCATTGCTTACGTTTATTAATAGGCAGACGATACGTTCAAACCAAGCACACCATTGTTTTTCTTGTGGAATTCCCAATCAGTCTGATGTGTCACATGACCCTCTTCCTACTGAAAAAAACAAAAAATGGATCCACGTTGGCTGACTTCAAAATGGCCACCATGGTGACCACCCATCTAGAAAAGTTTGCCCCCTCACGTATCCTAATGTGCCACAAACAGGACGTTAATGCCAACCATTATTAAGGTGTTTCCATAGAAACGGCCCACGCCTCATGATTCTTATGTTGAGAGGCGCTATATAAAAGATTGAGTATCGGTTCAAGGTATCAGTTAACTAAACTATACGGATACAAGTTCATCAGGACAGTATCGGCCCAGATATCGGTGCATCCCTATCATGAAGTAGCCTAAGAACGAGGCTGCTTATAGACGATCTGGCTGAAGAACACACTAGGCCATTGAATCAGGCCAGAAGAAGTTTTCATTTCTTTAGTGTCAACCTCAATTTGGTTCAGTACTGATCATCTCCAAAACCATCAGGGAGAAGTGAGTCCAAGAGTAGCTGCCTCTCAGCTGCCAATATAGCCTGAAGCAGACATGTTTGCATCATCGACGAAAACATGACGTGTCAACCTGTTCTTTTCTATCAGAGGAAGAAACACAGAGCAAGAAAGACTAAACCGAGCGTGCAGAGAGGCTGCCGCGCGCGCACGTTTTCCTCTGCCGTGTGCTCGTTGACAACGCGCGCACGCAGGTTTGTCACTTGTGCACATCCTTGTGCGCTCACAGACACAGTTTGCTCCCTCTCAGTGCACAAATGACCTCTCGCCATGTATATTTCCGCTCGCGAGTCCCGTTCACACGCGTGCTGCCATGTATATTTTCGCTCGCGAGTCCCGTTCACACGCGCGCTGTGGACCCAATGCGCGTGCACGGGTTGTGGCACGGGTCTGACGCGATAGTTTCCAATCAGAAACAGCAACAAGCAACAGAATACGGTTTCAGTTATAATATTAAAGTCTTAAATTCTATTATATTTTTGCCGTGCGTTAGACTAAATACGATATATTTACAGATCTGGGTCTAGGAAATTAATCGCAATAAAATAAATGGAAGTGACTGAAATGATATAGCCAACAGATGTTTTAGAAAACAATTATGAAGGCTCTGACTTATCTTCTTAACTCCAATAAGGCCTTACCCATTCACTGGTGTCCTGGTTGAATGTTGGCCAGTAACAGCCCTGTTCAGGTACGACACCACTGTGGTGACCGGTAACGGGTCATTGTGGTATTCCATTAAAACGGACCTCTCCCCCTCTGACATAACTACCAGGCACATGCTCTGCATACTGGGGCCAGTGTAGAAGAGTCTGTCCGGTACGAGATGAAAATTAGACAAGGTGAGAGTTGCTGACTGAAGTCAATTAAAATGTCTGCCAGATGATGATAAAGTCTGGGATGATAAATCTGCACCAATATGGCACATTTACCTTAAATTGCAATCATCTCTAAAAATAAATAGGCTATAGTGTATTTACGACTGTATTCAACTAAAAGAAGCCCACACACCAAGGTATAGATCTATCTGTCCTTGTCAGGAATAAACTTCTGAGGGAAGCTAGAGTAGTACCGTAATTTCCGGACCATAGAGCGCACCTCGATATAAGCCGCACCGGGCTTAAAGCCGCAGATATCTACTGAATTTAAAACGTAGTTTAACTGGACGTAACTGATCAGTATCAAACAAAACAGAAAAGTTATTGATTAGTTTATTCATCGTCCTCCTGCGCACTGAAACCACTGCAGTCCTCTTCTTCAGTGTCGGAGTTGAACAGCCTCAGAAGAGCTTCGCCACACACCTTTTCTGTGGCGATGTCGGTGTCGCTGTCCGTGTTGCTGTCGTCATCCCCGGGTGAAGCCGGGAAAACAAGCAGCGCCGTTTTACGGTGAAAAAAATCCTCCTGGGCGCTTGTCGTAGCGCTCCTTTAACCATTCCTTCATTAGACTTTCCAGCATCCATCCTTTCTGGCCGACTAAAGCCGCACCTCATTATAAGCCGCATGGTTCAAAGCGTGGGAAAAAATAGCGGCTTATAGTCCGGAAAATACGGTATTCACTTTTTTGCCATCTTGTGAGGATAGCATGGCAGCCCTTCAAACAGCAGGAGTGGACCATTTTCTGCAGGTTATAAGCTCACGACACACAAAGCAACCGGTGCGTCCTTTGTTTATACACCTAGCTATCCCAGCATGCAACGCGCTAAGCACCCGATACGCCACCTGACAGGGACCGATAAGGAGAGAGAGCGTCGATATTAAAAATAAAAGATCAACATTAATTTTCGTACTTACCTCTTAGGCTGTGATTAGAAGCCATGCTTCTCATTTTACGGTGCTGTTGTTCGGTCGGGGGGAGCTCTTCGTTGAGGAGACAAGTGTGAATTTGTTGGTATGTGGAGGTTTCCATTGTTCAAATGTCCCGGGCAGTCAAAAAGAAGGCAGATTGGCACATGCATGGTACAGACTGGGTAGCGACCCGCTCTGTTGGGAAGTCAAAAGGCGGATCCAGGGGTTTGTGAAGCAGTTTGATACTACCTGCACACTCAGAACCTGTACAGGTCCAGGTTCCACCTGGGTCAGATCTGTGCTGTTCGCATCCGGGTCACGTTTGGACAAAAAGTTGTATCTGATGTGCTTTTGCCTGCCGTGCGCACGTCGCCATTGACTTCTATATCCACCTGTTCTATGGATCCGCCCACTTGTCATCTTGATACTGGATTAAGCATCAACCAAAGGAAAGTGTGGGGCTTGAATGGCTCCTAACCTGATTATTCATGTTGTCGGTTTTCAGCTCTCGGTGGGTGGAATACTGAATGAAGACTGGCTGGTTCCTGACGGTGGGCGGGGCCGAGGCGTAGAAGTTCACCATGGTAACAGCAGCTTCTTCTGACGCCATCTCTAAAAATGCCTGAACACAAACAAGAAAGCTAAAAGTAAGATTAGGAGTGTACACCCACTGTCCCTGTAGGCGGGGCTCAGCCACGGCCAGAACCTAAGCCACGCCCATCTCCTTCTGAACAATAGGTACTGCAATAGCAATGAATGTCTACAGCCCTTTTTACAAGAAACACCGTGCCGGCAAATCAGCGTGATATTACTGCAACGGTGGGTCTCATTAACACGCCATGCCGGTGTTGTAACAAACTAGTTAACCCGGTAGAATTTGTTTGCCCTGAGTCAGGCGCCAGTTTTATGTCTGTTTGAGCTCCCCCGCTCCCAAAAACTAACCCTCACTCTAACGCTTACGCTAACCGTAACCACCACTAAAAATGTTTGATTTGCAGAGTCATATTTTATAAATAACGCTGTTGGGGATGATTTTTATGTTTGTTATAGGGTTAGGGTCATTGCCATGACAATGTTCAGCTAAACAGTGGCCCCAAATGGATCAGGGTGGGACCATGTCCCCTACTCTGGCATTCGCTCATCCAGAATTTTTTATACATTTTGGCCATTTGGCGTTCTGCTTTCAATGACCTCAAAATACTCTGGGGGGCGCTGTAGATCACGTTTTCCCCCAATGTCCAACTACTTTAATGGCAGTGGGCAAACATTTTGACCAAAGTAAAAGTATTGCAAATTCCTATTTTAGCATGCTCCTCATATACACCTAGCCTTATCAGCTAGTGGCCGTCGCCCACTGGACTCACTCTGTCAGTGCCTAGAACAAGTAAACGACTGGATGCAGTCAAACTTCCTTCAGCTAAACAAAGACGAGACTGAAGTTATTGTCTTTGGCAACAAGAAGGATAGGATGGATGTTATTGCTCAGCAGGACTCCAGAGGAATGAAGACAAAAACCCAGATTAGAAGTTAAATTGAAGTACAACTTATGTGCGATTCAGGGCGTGAGTGTAGCCCCGTTAGGGGACCCATGAGCCGACCAGAAGGGGAGGAGCCTTAGACTCCACATAGAGGTTGCTACTGGTTCATACCTGGTGTTTGGTCCTAACTGTGACCAGTTTGGTGACTCTGCCAAAGGGAAGTGCCAGAGCGAGGAGTTCCTGTTCAGAGACATCCACGGGTAGCTGGCGCAGGTGAAGGACCTGGGACGGAATGTGCTGAGCACACCCAGAAACACACAGCCTTTCAGGGCCATCCACTGCACACAGGAAACACACAGGTGGGATCCAGGCAACAACCAACACCTTGACTGCGCCTGTACATGCGATCAGCCAGTAGACACCACTGTGGGTGGGACTTCAACACTGTGACACTTCAGACACTGGGTCGAACTGAACAGAAATGTGCAAGTGTAGAGGTGGGACTCACCTGTAGACAGGTGGGCGGAGCTCATGTTTGTACAGCAGCTGCCTGGCTATCTGAAGACCTGCAGAATAAAAGGATCAGTTCCCACAGTCAGCTGATCAGATTGTGATGGAGATGAAAAAAAAGTCTGACTTGATGGGCAGGTGCACCCTGTGCACGGCCACAGTAACATTCTCAAAGTGTCACCACCCCGAAAACAAATAACACGATCATTTATGTCGGCCCATTTTCTTTGGTGCTTTCCGTCTTTTTTTTTTTTCTTTTTTTTTTTGCAGTCCGTAGATTCGAAGTCCCATAATCAGGAGAGGATTTCAAAATAAAAGAATAACTGTACTTCCAACAGAATGTGTTCCTGTATGGAATCAGCCACAACATGAACCACGGAGATGAGTGGAAAACGTGACCAACAGGAATCATATTCCTCTTCTTCACTCTGGGGAAAAGATTCCCACGCCGGACCTAGATTGGAAACAATTTACCAATGCGGAGCTGAACTTCCTATTTCGCTGAAAGGGACTATAGGGATCTTAAGTCACGCCCATCTACTTCCGGACCACGGGTCCCCAGAAGAACCAAAAAATGAATGCAAGCCAACGGGGCTAAAAACGCTATTTTCTAATCCCACTTGTTATGTGCCACGAATTTCACATATGATGTCCGTGAATTTTAAAGACATATTTAAAACCAAGAACGCGCTTATTTTCGAAGAGGAACGATATTTTAGGTTTTGTGTGAAAATATGTCCAGGACTACAAACACGCTTCACAAAAGTGACGTCATCGACCCAGACACGGAGAAAACTGAGGGAAAATGGATGTAAGTTCAGCAAACTTCTCATCCTTCCCACAGGAGGAAAGAACCACCATAAATCTGGTCATGTGGTAAGTAGCAGCTACCCTAGGGGAGGGGCTTATGTGGTGATGTCACATATGGGACATGCCGATTTCTAGTTTGTAGACATGCTAATTAATCTCAAAGTACGTGACTAGTGTGGTCGAACCACCCATCATTAGTTTTCATTTTAACTGCAGCACAACATGTGTGTGATCCAGGGATTAAGGCGGCACAGCGGGTTAGAAAATAGCGTTTTTAGCCTCGTTCAGGGACCCGTGTGCCGACCGCAGAGGGAGGAGACTTAGGCTCCCCGTAGGACATAGCTCAGACCTCCTGCTCTCCTCCTTGTAAAGCACATTGAATTTGCCTGTGTTTGAAATGTGCTAGAGAAATAAAGCTGCCTAGCCTCATTCTCGCAGACTCTCCGTCACGTTTGTACATTAACAGCATTTTCTTGAACAGCTGCTTCACCCCTTCTCCACTCCTCTGTTGTGCTTTCTCTCCATCTAGATCTTGATAATAACCCCCATGCTCTGACATGTGTTGTGAGCTGCAAGGTCTTATAGACAGGCATGTGGCTTTCCTAATCAGGTCCAATGAGTAGAATCAAACATCGCTGGACTCCAGTGAAGGTGTAGGACCATCTCAAGGATGATCAGAAGAAATAGAAAGCACCTGAGTTAAATATATAAATAAATTAGGGCTGATGGTCTAGATTCTAATCTAGTTCAACAAATCATTCACATTAATATTTACTATTTCATTTACTATTTCATATAATCATACAGTGCAAACATGCATCGTTCCACATGACCTACCACGCACTACCAGAACAGGGGCTTTCTTTTCAATGTTCAACAAACTCCTGAAGACCCTGCTCTTCAGAGAGCATCTTCTAAACTAGCACCCTTCCCTCCTCTCTACTGTCCACTCCTTGTTCCCTCTTCTCCATGATTCATCATGCTGCCTCACTGCCACCTACGACTGACTGGAAATTAGTTGTTGTTATTGTTGTTGTTGTTAGCCTCAAGGGCAACACGCCGATTATCAGTTGTAAGTCGCGTCTGCTAAATACATAAACATAACACGTAATAAATAACAAAAGCACAGTTTTCCTGCGTTACCGCGGCAGGCTGAAGCCGTCTGATACTTTTTCCTCACTGACGTCAGCTCCGTGAGAGAGACGCACGCATTCTGACACCTTAGCTTGTCTGAGCTAACGTGTGCCGTCAGAAACATTCAAACCATTTTTAAAATACAAGTTGAGCTTTCAAGTCAACTAAAGTGCGCGACTCCGCTCTCGCGCTGATGAAGAATAAACCAAATCAGCCTGAACCTGCTGGTGTGGGAGGAGTCTCTCTCTAACGCCGGCTTTTAGCCACGCCCCCTGCTCCATCGATCTGCTCTCGTCTGTTTTCCAGGCGAGGCGCTGCTCATCACTCTGAGACATCGCGAGATTTCAACCAGTCACGCCCAGCTGTTTGCTGACTGATTTCTAACCCAAAACTAAAGCGCGTACAGAAAGTCGAGCACGTGCAACAGTAACAGGTAAACAAAAGCAAACGCAATAAGTAAACAAGCACTGAGCCTAACATGCGGGGGGCTCGCGCAGGTGTCGAACAGCCACCAGGGAAACGCTAGGCGGGAAGGTTCTGCACACTCACTGGTCCATGGTCCGGCTGAGGGAGGCAACAGCTGATGAGAATGATGATGGTTTGTTTTCGGTTCGCCAGCCCAGCGAGCCCAGCAGCGCCCACAGCGAACAATGAGCTCACTTCCTGTTTGTTTACGTCACAAAATAAGGCGGCTTGTAGACACGCCCAGATTACCCACAAATTTTAAAAAACGTAAGACATTAAATAAAAACTGAAATGTTAATAGAAACACATCTCAATGAGTATTAAATAAATAGAGTAATTATGTCAAATGTAAATAATAGAATAGATGCCAAATTCTGGCATCAAAACAGAGTGAATAGAACAATGAATAAATAAACCAATAAATGTGAGTAAAAACGAGATGTTTCAGTAAATATAAAAACTCAGATCATTACATTTTTAAATACAGTACATAAAGGGGAGATGTTATGACTAGACCGAGGTGGAGGAGTCTGACTGCCCTAGCGATGGGAGCTAGCTGTCTGTGGACATTTTCCATTGGCCATGAAGGAATTCTGTCCACACACTGGCCGTGTTCCAGATGAGCCAATTCTGTGCAGATTAGATCAACGGTGATCAGCGCACAGTGCTTGCCGGTTAGATTTGTGTCCGACTTGACACAGACTTGCTCTGACGTCATGCATACGTAGGCAACGATATCCTCATGAGATCAAGGCGGCCGCAGATTTTGGAGCAAGGCTGTGCAGTTGCTCTCCACCGGCTGCTAAACCTAGGGCATGACGGGAAACGCCTGGCTCTCACCTGAGTTCTGATTGGTTCACATTTTGATCCGAACATCCGGTGGTAGAACATAGTTAGTCACATGTATTCTGTAAATCATGTTATGTTGATGATGACAACTATATAGGCCATAAAGGATATAGGCTGCATGGTGGCACAGTGGTTAGTACTGTTGCCTCGCAGCACGAAGGGTTGCAGGTTCGAAACTCGGCTGCGGCCTTTCTGCGTGGAGTTGCGTGTTCTTCCCATGCATGTGTGGGTTTCCTGCGGGTACTCCGGTTTCCCCCACAGATCACAACATGCCCTATAGGTTTGAAACTGTAAGTCGCTTTGGATAAAAGCGTCTGTTAAATGAATAAACATAAAGGGAAATGTGATTTATATTCTTTTCTCACGTTACCTATGAGCACACTAAAGCTACAGCTTCTTGTGCTGCTACACATCTTCGCCTAGCCTATGGGACGCTCCTAGAGAAACCTTACATATACAAGCGCGTGTACGCACACAGGTGCTCACATAAGGATGGACTTGGGCACGTTCAACACATGTCTTAAGGCTGTGGTTGGCACTAAATGCACTGTGATTTATTATTGTGTGATTGTTCAGTTAAACAATGTTGATTTTATATTTCATCATCAAGTTGACGCAGGGATAGCTTGCTCCTGTTGTATTGTTGTGTGTTGTTTTTCTGCAGGGCTAGAAGCAGACTCTTGTTCATCATTGATTGTTCATTTTTGTGCCCCCCCCCCCCCCCCCCCCCCTCTCTTCCTTTCTGTTTTACGGTTTCACCTCTGTCTCTGTTTGGAATTATAAAACATTAAAAAATATATATATAAAGTTTTAACCCCTTAAGCCCTAGGCCTCTTTTGAAGCCTATTCCTCGAAAAATGGTACTTAATGGTAAAAAATAGTTTAACCTTGTAAAGAAGAGAGAAAGACCCGCACTTGTACAGCGCCTCTCAGAGTAAAGACTCCAATGCGCTTTACACTACAGTATATCATTCATCCATTCACGCACACATTCACACGCTGGTGGGGATGAGCTACGATGTGGCCAGAGCTGCCCTGGGGCGCTCTGACAGGGGCGAGGCTGCCGAGTACGGGCGCCACCACCAGGCAAGGTGGGTTAGGTGTCTTGCCCAAGGACACAACAGCACAACAACCCACTCAACCTGTTGAGCTACTGCTGCCCCAGCAGTGCTGGGTTTGATTAATTTGATGGGAATTATTACTATTTCTTCTGTAGTGTGAGGGTTTTTTGGTCCCCACCTGGGGGGACCCTGTGATGTTAGTTCTGTCTCTGATTATCCTGTCATGTCTGGTGGCAGATGCGGGATCTAGTTCTCCAGAAAAAACGCTGCCTGGCCACGGCCGTGGAGCTCGGGTGATGAGCGCAGCCACGAACAAAAGACAGAAAGTACCAAAGCAGTTCTGAACGATCGTGTGTTACATTTATTTTGGTGGTGCCGCTTTGACAATGCCGTGGCCGCGCGCAAGACGCAGAAGCCGCTGGAGCGCATGAGCGCTCTGCCCGGTTCATCGTCTCCGCTCAGAAGACGCCTACGTCCTCGCCACAGAGACCTTCGATTTCAGACAGAGGAAAGCACCTTCTTGATCAGCGGAGATCTTTGTCTGAACACCGGAAGTTAGTTAACTACAACTTCCGGTCCTATCTCTGCGTGAAAGTGGGTGAAAGGTGAAAAAGACGAGTTGCTGAAAACATTGATCTCGGTTTGTTTGACCTCTGCCCTCTCACGTGAAGCTACGATGCTGCAGAACACGGGGTGAGTTTCTCTGCCGTGAAACTGTTTTCTTAAAGATTAATAATGGAAGTCTGGAGTTCTCTGCTGCCGAGCTGAAAACTAAATGTTTGTTTGTCCCGCCTTTCTAATCTCGATTTGAACGTTTAAACCCGTCAGAAGTTTCAGTGAGAGCTCGGTGACAGCTCCATCGTCATTGGCTCGTTTTTAGCTCCCTAGCTAACGGCACTTCCGGTGTGTTGAGGCAGACTGATCAAATCAAATCAAATCAAATCAAAGCTTTATTTATAAAGCGCCTTCGGCAACCCTGTCAGGAAGCCCAAGGCGCTGATGCTCGTTCAGATGAAGATTTAGGATTAGATTTATGTTCCAGACTGGTTTGTGTTCTTTAGATACATGTAATGTCTGAACAGAAGGCTCGACATGGTCACATAAGACCACCGGCTTCAAAATAAAACATAACATTGGGGTTTTCAATGTGGGGCTTTTATTTTGAAAACCGAAGTGGTTACTTTTAATGAATGATCAATAAGATGTGATATTCCATATTCATATGAATTATCAATATTCTATATCTTTTGATATTTGCTTTAAGACGAAACCATGTCTTTTTGGTAGTTCAGGGAAATCACACCTGCTTCTTCCCTTCAGTCTGGTTTACTTCATCATGTCCCGTTCCTCACCATCCAGGTATTCTAGTCTGGATCCTTCCTCCTATTGACTGTAAACACTAACACCCAGCCCAGGGGGGCTGTGAGGGTCCTGAGGTGGGGGAGAGCCAGGTGCTCAGATGACTTCATGAACATAGATGTCAGAGCACACTGTTTCTCACCAGCATCAGCTGATGGAGGGCTCTAGTTTCGTTGCGCCATTCGTGTCAGTGGACACGGTAGGGTCAGGGAGGGGGGCGGGGCACGACGCTTAGCCCGGCGGGCCGCCAGGCTTGTAAAGCTTTCGGGGAAACCCTCCAGTCAGACTGATTTTACAACGAGACGCCACAAGTTTCTACGACACTTAATCAGGTTCTGCTACAAACTTCTAAGCTTACATCCCATCATCTCATTCATTGTCTCGTTTTTTTTGTTCCACCCATCATTCATCACCATTAATTTAGAAATACAGTACCACATTGACTTTAATAAACAAAATTTTAGCCTCTGTCTCAAAGTATTACGAAGGTGTGGTTTCCCCGGCGCTACCCAAAGTACCTAGTTTCATCAGCAATTGAATATTAAAGGCTCAATATTATTGATAGTCCATATTTTTATGGGATATTACATTTTATTGATTACCGTTTATATTCTATTGACAGTTGATTAAAAGTAACCACCTATGTCTCGTTATCACTGATTTGTGTCTCTCAGGAAGCTAGCCGGCCGCACGCTCTTCATCACTGGAGCTAGTCGAGGAATTGGTAAAGCCATAGCTCTAAAGGCAGCGAGAGATGGAGCCAACATTGTGATTGCAGCCAAGACGTCTGAGCCCCACCCCAAGCTGCCTGGAACCATCTACACTGCTGCAGATGAAGGTAGGCTAACAGACTAACAACTGAGGCAAATTTGATTAGCTTAATGGGTGGAGCTGGAAGGTTGGTGGTTTGGTGCTGGCATCTCCACCATGACCACCTAACCCTGGCTAGGACATTAGGCGTGTTTCCACTATAAGAAGTTCAGGGTAGATCTACAGGAACCTCTCAACATGTGCGTGTGTCCACCTGACCGGGCCGTTGTCAGGAACCTTCTGAGTGCCTGCTCCGGAGCGGGTCCTCCGAATGGTCCGATGGAGTCGCTGAGCAGAACCTCCAGTTGACTCTTGCTGATTGGTTGCAACTCAGTAGGAAATGACATCAGCAGGTGTCCAAAACAACCGGCATCAGTACAATTGGAAGAGTAGCTGGTGAAGCAGAATGGAAGCAAGAAAAAGCACCGATCACATTCAAAATCTAACTCCCGACACCGGAAAACTCAGTCGGTGGAAAAATGGGGAATTCCCCCACAGACCAGTGTAAAGGGGCTCTTGTCCTCTGAATGGATTAAATTATGATGTACTTCTATAAAATAAATGCTTTTAATATTATTAATGTAGCTTTTGGGGGGCTGATCGGTGACATCACTCACTGCCAAAGCAGTCGTGATACGCTGACGTCTGCGTAAGCTCTGAAAGGGCCAAATTAGAATGGAGACAACAGCTGAGGACTGGGACGTCCCATCTGCTGGTCACGTTCCCATCCCAGGAACTACCCTGGAGTTCTGGCAATGGAAACGTGCCTAGTGAACCGCATAAGGTTCTGCCAATCAGGTGTGTGTGAGTGGATGAGTGCACCTTGTACGTTTAAGACTAACGGTAGCATATAATCCAGTCCATCAAACTCCTGCTGTGGGCGGACCCCACGGACGACGCATCAGGCGCTGTAGCGGGTTAGGATGTGTGTACTGTGGGGGGTTAGGGTGTGTGTGATGTAGCGTTAGGGTTAGGGTGTGTGTGCTGTAGGGTTAGGGTTAGGGTGTGTGTGCTGTAGCGGGTTACGGTTAGTTCGGGACTAGTTTGTTCAGAGCGTAACGAGAACGCCGTGGAGCGGCTCTCACGTGATCGCTTTAGACCAATGCTGTGCGTGAATTTAGTAAACAGAGATCCAATATGCCGGTTGGAAAGTAGCAGCAATTATGATTTAAATGCCTTAAAACATTTAAATTCATGAACAAAATAAATAAATAAATACTTCTTCTTCCTGCTCTTGGAGAGTACAGACGCTTTTTTCTCCTCTCCCTCCTTCCTCATCCCAAGGCTCTGTCCTGTCTGCCTGTGCACGGCACTTTCTGCATTTATTCTGGAAACAGGAAATTACTAAAATGGACCTGGTCAGTTGGTCTCTCAACGCGATTGACAAAATGTTTTCAACGATGAGAACGGGAGAAGGGGCTCCCGGGTGCCCCTCTGGGACGGAGCCAGCTGGGTCTATCATGGACTCCTGGAAACAGTGGAACCTGATCTGCCTCTCTCAACTGTCTGTAGAGGATTCTGAAGATGTTTGGATATTCGTCGTTTTGGTGTCGGGATTCCTGCTGTTTGGCCTGAGTGGTTACCTGGCTTACCGGAAAAATAACGAGCTTTCGAGGAATATTGGCTCAATCCCGGAGCTCAGGGATGGAATGCATCGCGCTGTGAACAAACAAACTCATATAATTGTCGAGATGAGTCGTAAGCTTGGAACTTTGGCTGAGATTCAGGCTCTGGCACAGAAGGTGGATTCCATCAAGGAGAGAGTTGACGGATCAGCACGGATTGCAAATAGATTAATTTACGCCATTATTGGATCTAGAGGGGTTGAAGACCAACAGAACTCTAAGGCAGAGAGGAAATTATCCGTCTGTCCCCAAAACAGTACTTATCTGAATGTGGTGCCCTTGGAGCCTGTGAGGCTGAAGTGAAAACTCCCCCCTTAGAAGAAATGTGGAATGCTGCCGTTGCTATGGAAACCCTTTCTCCCTATCCCAGCCTGGGCGGGACCGCGACCGGTGAAGGCCGTGGAACCGTATCTAGGAGTCACTGTGCCCTCTAACCCATTAGCCAACCCCCCCCCCCCCCCACCCCCCCCCACCCCCCCGCGGTGATGAGCGCTGCTCTTGCGGCTGCACGCATTGAAGTGACGAGAGTCCCAACCCTACCTCCCTTCCTAGTGGACACTTATGTTGTGTGATGTCTGAAGTCTGTGTGCATATCTGTCTGAGGTGTTTTTTTGCAGAGCAAAGCTACCCTCTCTGTGGAGGGTAACTCTGAAGTGCCTTTTTTCCCTCCCCCTGACTCTATCCTCATACAAACCCTCTTGATCTATAACGGTAGCGCGACTCGTGTTGCGTTCTTGTCATGTATGTCTGATCTCAGAATTGTGTGTACTGAAACAATTGAATTCCCTTTGGGATTAATGAAGTATTTCTCAGTTTGAAATAAACAATGGAAACGTGGAGCTAACATTAGAGCGATCCCATGTCACTGCTCAGGCCTCTAGTGTACTAACACGATATCTGCTCTGCGGTGTTTATACACTATTGTACCAACACTACGAGAAACACCAACACCGTAACAGTGAAATGAAATGATGAGAGCAGTACGGTTATATTCCATAAACATAAACTCATGTTGTGTGGGCTCCATGATGTCTTCCTGTCTTACTTTTCGAAAGCAAACGCTCGTCTAGTTCAATTCAAGTTTATTTATATGGCGCCAAATCACGACAAGAGTCGTCTCAAGGCACTTCACATAATAAACATTCCAATTCACAGTTCATTAAGCCAATCAGAAATAATGTTTCCTATATAAGGAACCCAGCAAATTGCATCAAGTCACTGACTAGTGTCAGTCTTTACAGCAATCCTCATACTAAGCAAGCATGCAGCGACAGTGGAGAGGAAAACTCCCTTTTAACAGGAAGAAACCTCCAGAGGATCCTGGCTCAGTATAAGCAGCCATCCTCCACGACTCACTGGGGATCGAGAAGACAGAGCAGGCAGACAAAGACAGACACACACACACACACACACACAACACACACACACACACACACACACACACACACACACACACACACACACACACACACACACACACACACACACACACACACACACACACACACACACACACGTAATGTGTCTATAGTTATATTGTGATGTCTTAGTAAATATTGTATTTGGTGAAAGATAAACTTTATTGTATTTATCCTAGTGGATCTATAATTAAACGGATAAACTAGTATTAGCACATCAAAAGTCAATGAAAACAAAAAGTTATTATCAGGTCTAGTAATGACTAGGTTTGGATGAGATGATGTGATTATTTACCAGAGTGTAATGAATGCATGTTAATGAAACTATCGTATTCAGATGTGTTAGTTTATTACAATATGTGGACGTAACAGGTCACTGAGACATCCCCTTTACATCAGTCTGTCCATCAAACATCAAAACACACGTCAAACTCAACCAATCAGAATGTGTGTTAAAGAAAGAATATTAGAACAATTACATGAGCGTGGTCCACATCTGCACAGAGAAGACGTGAGTGTGCAGCATCCTTCACCACTGAGCCGTGGTCACGTGCAGCTCTTCAGCAGCCTGAGGATGACAGTCCTGATGACGTAGGACCACCTTCCTGTCTCGCATGTGCCCCTCCTACATCTACAGTGTTACCTGCATCACACACACACACATGTGACATGTGGGATTTCTCCGGTGTGTGTTTCAGTGGAGGCCGCCGGGGGCCGGGCGTTGCCTTGTGTTGTTGACATCCGAGATGAGCAGCAGATAGGAGCAGCTGTTCAGAGAGCAGTGGAAACCTTTGGAGGTATGACACACCTTTCATACTGAAGTCATGTGACCTCTGCTCCGATTTGTTGGGGCGTTTTACAGCAGGTTGAACCTGTCAACGTGGAGGAAACTGATTTCATCTCCTGTACTGGGAACGTCTGATTCACAGGTATCGACATCCTGGTGAACAATGCCAGTGCCATCAGTCTCACTGGAACGCTGGAAACCCCGATGAAGAAGGTCGACCTGATGCTTGGAATCAACCTGAGAGGAACGTATCTCACGTACGACCCACGAGCCTGAGCACATGCTGCTGAATGCTGAAGACGGTGTTAAACACTCGCTCGTCACTTCATGGGGCATGCCTGTCCAGCTGTTTAACCTAAAGTAGTAGTCAGCCAATCACATGGTGGCAACTCAGTGCACTTATGCGTGTCGACGTGGTCGAGGCGAGCTGGCGCAGTTCAAAGCGAGCTTCGGGACGGGGGAGAAAGGGGATGTAATGGGCCATTCCCATCTGTACCGGGTCGGCCCGGGCCGGGTAGCGTAGGTTGTTTACATATCTGGGTGGCCTGGTATTTTTCCGGGCCAACCAAGGCTCATTCTCAGCCCTCTTCTCGAGGGGGTCTGCTTCAGGCCGACCAGGGCCAACACACCCACTGCTGACAGCCCATTCACACCTTCCATTAGAGCAAGCCTCTGATTGGTGGGTAGAATCAGCCCACATGGGCTTAAGGCAAGGATGTGTGGAATCAACCGGGCCAGGCTGGGGCCGACTGGGGCTACCCGGCCCGGGCCGACCCGGTACAGATGGGAATGGCCCATTAGTGACTCTGAACATGGCGTGGTGTTGGTATCAGGTGGGCTGGTCTGGGTATTTCAGAAGCGGCTGATCTTCTGGGATTATCACACACAACCATCTCTAGGGTCTACAGAGAACGGTCCGAAAAGGTAAAACCTCCAGTAGGTGGGAATGCCTTGTTGGTGCCAGAGGTCAGGGGAAGGGCCAGGTTGGTTTGAGTTGATAGAAAGGCAACTCAAATAACCGCTCGCCACAACCAAACACTCATGCTGCTGAACCCACACTCGTGTTAGCATCAGCGGCCCTTGGTGGTCAGAAAGCTGCTCACAGGTTCAGCTCAGCACAACGATTCTGTGCTTCAATAAAATTAGACACCGCCTCTCTCTCTCTGTCAGCTTAAAATTTTATGCAAGCTCCAATCTCTTCTGCACAAATGCGGTGTACTCGTTATTTTTCTCTTGCTGTTGTGTGTTTGCGCACGCACGCATGTGTGTGTGTGTTTTATGCTGGTTCGCTAACAACGTGTGCTTCTGTGTGTGCAGAATCAGGTGTCTTTGGGCTGCCTTGAACCTTTGAGCAGAGGGTCAGGGTTAGAGCATGTTTTCCCCTGGACTGGATGTATGTAGCTGCTTTATAAACCGTGACATAATTGTCTTCGTCAGGTCGAAGATGGTTATTCCTCACCTGCTGAAGAGCCGCAGTCCTCACATTCTGAACCTGTCCCCTCCCCTGAACCTGAACCCCATCTGGTTCAAGAACCACACAGGTAACCATGGCGACGAGCCGACTCCTCTCCCCAAGATGTTTTACTAACACGTTCGTCTTTTGGTGTCTGTTAGCATACACGATGGCCAAGTACGGAATGTCCATGTGTGTCCTGGGAATGGCCGAAGAGTTCAGAGGCCAAATAGCCATCAATGCCCTCTGGCCAAAAACTGGTCAGTGGCTAACAGTTAGCGCACTAACATGCGCCAACCCTCACACGCTAACGGCTGCGACTGCGTTTTGTAGCGATCCAGACGGCAGCCATGGACATGCTGGGTGGAGAGGGTGTTGGCAGACAGTGTCGTAAAGCAGACATCATTGCTGACGCCGCCTACGCCGTCCTATCCAAACCCAAGGACTACACAGGTCACTTCCTGGTGGATGAGGATGTCCTCCGAGCACATGGTGTTCAAGACTTTGATCAGTACGCCGTCCAGCCAGGTGACTGCTGAGCCCACACCCACCTGGGTACATACATTTCAGTGTGATATTCACAGAGGCTTCTGATTGGTCCACAGGTCACCCCCTTCTGCCAGATTTCTTCCTGGACGAAGCTCCAGAGATGCTGGCCAAACAGATGGAGCAGCACGGTGAGTCCTCTAGGATTTAGTAGTAGAGGAGTTTTCTGGTGGCGTTCTTACTTCCCGCCTTTTTCTATCTGATGTCTGCTTCGCTTCTGCGTCATTTGTGGTTGCCAGGAGCAACGCCGGCCTTCAAACCCTCGTCGACCACGCCCAACTCTGGTGGACCAATAGAAAGCACCTTTGACGTTATTAAAGCGGTTATCAACAACGATGTTGTCAACGCCACTCAGGCCATGTACAGGTTTGATCTGTCAGGTGAGGAGATCATCGCTGTCCTTGTGAGGACATTCGTCCCGCTGGCGTGTCTCACCACCATGTTTGTTTCCATGTAAGGAGAGCACAGTGGTGTTTGGTTCCTGGACTTGAAGAGTGGTTCTGGTAGTGCAGGTCAAGGTGAGCCACCCTCCAAAGCAGATGTTGTCATGACGATGGACTCCAGTGACTTCAGCAAGATGTTTGCAGGTGAGCGTTCCCGCGGGAAATAATTCCTTAAAAAAGCCTCGACTTTGGACCACTGGGTCTTAGTATTTGTGCGGTGTGTAAACTCTCCATACTGTTTTTGCCCTCTTAACGTTTCATTTGTCAACCACAATCATTCCTATTAAATAACGTCGCGTAAATAAAGAGTGGCGGAACCAATAACTGAGAAGGCAGCGCAGCCGCGGGTCAAATACTACGAACACGTGACGTATTCAGCTCCAGCGCTACAGACGCGATGCTAAATGGTAAACAACACCGACCTCCAGCAGAGGACGAACGAGGAAAACGTCAGCCCACCGCGAGAAAGGCTGACTGGTGCCAGAACTCTGGACCTCTTTGGGACGGCGTGGAAACGTTCAGTAGGTACCGATATCAGAACAAAAAGTGTTAAAATGTCCCGATAAATGTGCCACCGCAGGTCACATGACTGATCCCGAGTCATGTTATGAGTGGAGGAGACGCGTCTGCTCCTCTCATAACGTGACTCGGGATCATTAATGCTAAAACTCAAACGTTTAGGTGCATTTAGCTAAAGTTAGCAGCAGCTAAATGAAACACCAGCAAGAAGATTTGTGCTGTGAAAATCAGGAGTAGCAGCACCAAAGCACCTGGTGGTGCAGGCACCATCCTGAGAGCTGAAACATGGAGAGTCTCTGACTGCAGAAAGGTAAGCCGAGTCCCTCAGCCTCCAACACAGAGGATAGAGGCTGATGAACGCCGTCTTTGTCACGGTTACCCTGGCAGCATTAGTGGAAGCTATTTTTACACATATATTTCAGTTTGATGCCTTTACTGTTTGCACTGTAGCTTTGCTCCGTTTTGCTTCGGAAAAATGTAAATTATAAACTGAACAGAAGAAAAATGCAACACTTTTGTTTTTGATCCCGTTTTTCATTTCAACAAGTGGGCAAACGCTCACATTCGATGGCGTTTGGCCCGCTGGAGAGGCGTTCTGTTCACAGACGAGTCCCGGTTTTCACGGTTTATGGAAAGATGGTAGACGTGGCGCCGTGTGGGTGAGCGGTTCGCTGATGTCGTCATTGTGGAACGAGTGGCCCACGGTGGCGGTGGGGTACTGGTATGGGCAGGTGTATGTTATGGACAATGAACACGGGTGTATTTTGTTGATGGCATTGTGAATGCACAGAGGTACCGTGACGAGATCCTGAGGCCCGTTGTTCTGCCATTCATCCACAACAATCACCTCATGTTGCAGCATGATAACACACGGCCCCATGTCACAAGGATCTGGACACGTTTCCTGGAAGCTGAAAACATCCCAGTAGTTGCATGGCCAGCATCCTCACCAGACAAGTCACCCACTGAGCATGTTTGGGATGCTCTGGATCGGCGTATACGACAGCGTGTTCCACTTCCTGCCGATGTTCAGCATCTTCACACAGCTATTGAAGAGGAGTGGACCAACGTTCCACAGGCCACAATCACCAACCTGGTCAACTCTATGGTGATGCAGATGTGTTAGCCTGCGTTAAGCAAACGGCGGCCACACCACCCCCCCATAAAGCAAACCTCACAGGTCAGGGTGTCCTTTTATTGTGGGCAGGCTAAGGCACACCTGTAAGTTATTCATGCTGTCATCAGCCCCTTGATACGCCACACCTGTGAGGTGGGATGGGTTATCTTGGTGCTCACTAACACACATGTAGACACATTTCTGATGTTTGAGTTCAGCTGGGAGCAAAAACAAAAGTGCTGCATTTATATTTGTATTCAGTGTAAATATAATAAAATAATATAAACGGTAAGATTAAAACCTTTAGGTAGCTTTTTATCCTCTCATAAAATAAAAAATATAGATTTCAACAAAAGTGTTGTTAAAGTACTGCCATCAAAATGAGTGTACTAATATGAAGTATCTCCTGGTACCCAGCCCTACTGACGCTGTTATATTTGAACATGCTACGTTACCTAAAGCTCAAACCGCTCTGCTGCTGTTCTCTAACCAGTGTTTCGGCTAAATATAATAAAAAGGAAAGATAAATAAATGATTTAGTTTTTGCCGCCAGGGCTTTGAAATCCTTAAATTTTTACATAAGTGGTCTTGAAAAGGTCTTGAAAGTCTGGAATTTTACTTGATGAAACGTGTTGGAACCACATGAACAATAATGGACAGAAGTTCTGGTAACAGCAGAATAACTACACTCAGTCAGAGCAGTGTAGTTTCCATGGTAACGGTTGTTTCTCTGTCACTTCAGGGAAGCTGAAGCCCACTTTGGCCTTCATGTCAGGGAAGCTGCGGATCAAAGGCGACATGACACTTGCCATCAAACTGGAGAAGTTGATGAGTCGCATGAATAAGGCCAAACTGTGACACAGAAGCTCCGCCCTCAGCGCCAGTCCCCGCCCATTTGCCTTCAGAAGCAACTGAAACAGATGTCAGCCGTAGTCCTGCTGATGGGCTGGATGTAGACGTCCAGAGCGTTACCTGAACATGACACTACATCTGGCCTGGTCCAGCCCGATCAGCTGGTGTTGACAGGAAGCTCGTTACATCTCAGCGTTGTCTTTGTAGATGCTCTGATGTCATCGTTTTCACTAGCTGTTGCTGTGGTAATAATAAACTGGTCTGTCTCATGTAGGATTCTGGTCTAAATGGGTACATTAGACTTGATGATGACGAGGTCCTGGCTCATCCCTTTAGTGGTTCTCAAGCACTCGTCCATGTCTTCACAGAAATAAGGTCAAATAAAAAAAGTTCCGTAGGATTGGTAAATGGCCTGTATTCCATATAACGTCTTCTAGAGAGACCCCCAAGGTGCTTTCAGGGTATCCGTGGATCCTTAAAAAGTCTTAAATTAGCTTTTCCAAAATAAGGCCTTAAAAATCCTTAAAAATGACAAATAATCCTTAAATACAGTTTCCAGAGGTCTTAAATTACCAAAAACCCAATAAACAAGATTCTTTTATTTCTATGAAATTTTCGTGAATTTCTAGTTAGTGTTCAGCATTTTTTGTGTACGACATTGGCATAAATGGAACCGTACATGTTCAGTTGGTTGATATGGAAAAGTGAAGCCTATGCATTTCATAACGAGTGTATTTCTTTCTCCAAAGCACTTAACTTTATGAAAAGTAAACGTGCAATAAAACTCCTTAACCTTTTTGAAAAGTATGATTTGAAAACAAAGCCCTAGCTCTTTGTCTCTTTTTTGTTTGTTTCTTTCACAAATATTCTTTGCTTTCTATGCAAAGTCTCTTTTGTTATTCTTTGCACCTGATCCTTGGAAATGCCAAACAAATGAATTAATGCCTTATTGTTTGTAAATGAAAAAGTTCAAATAAAAAATAAATAAAATAAAATAATATTAAATTAAATGAAATTAAAAAAATAAAGCTGGCCAGATGGCCAATCGCAGCACAGAGCAACTGGTCTCCATGGTAACGATGGTTTGTTTGGGGAGGAGGCGGAGCACCATCGGTGTGAAGAAGAGAATACATCCGTTAAAAGGTGGTGCTGGAGCGTTAAACGGTGAGTTTGGCCGGTAGCTACTTCCGGTTTGTTGTTGTTTGTTTGTTTGTGTTTTTTTTTCCTGGTGGCTGATGTTTGTGAGCACGCGACCGCCGCTGCTTCCTGCTTCGGTCTGTAAACACGCGTCCCTTCAGGCCCCGGGAGCGTTATTTGGAATCGTAGGACGTCCAAGGAAGGGCCAACATTTTCTCGCCTCTGATTGGCTGGAAGGGCTCTCCTATGATTGACTATTTCGTGCAACAGTAAACTGCTGCAGGTGTTTACGTCTGCAGATCTTCACCAGAACCATTCAGGCCTGTTTTGCAACAGAGCGTTTTCCGTTTTGTTCATAAAGAAGAAAGCTGAAAAACATCAAATGTGTGTTTGTGATAAAAAACTGCTGCATGTGTCTCACGTGAGGTCACTGTTAGACTGACCTAGGCACAGGGCTAGTTCGAGTTGAGCAGCGCCTCGCCTGGAAAACAGACGGACGCAGCAGGGAGCGGAGGTCCATCATATGTACTGTTTACCCCCCCCCCCCCCCCACCACCACCACCACCACCACCACCACCCCAGCTGAGTCTAGCTGACCTGGAGTCAGTAACAATCCTCTTTCTGCTCTCAGTGATGGCTGGAACATCGAGACACGACACAGCGATGGCCATGAAGGCCAAGCAGCAGCTGATGAGCTGCTCCGACCCTTTGGAGAGGCTCCGGCTGCAGTGTCTCACCCGAGGATCGTCTGGGATCAAAGGGCTGGGCAGGTAAGGGCCACCTATCAAACACACCTTTTCACCACAATCTCTGCCTCCTTCTGTTGGTGACAAATGGAGCCATGAGTCCCAGTTTCATGGAGTCACATGGTAAAAAGATCAGGGCAGCGTGAGGTATCAGTATGCTATGGCACGCTCCTGGTCTGTCCACACAAGGGCGCTAAACAGTTTGTGTGGACAGAGGCTCCAAAAGGTGTGGGCAGAGCCTGAAGATGTTAGCGAGCTGTTTCTGCTCACTGCAATATTTCAGTTTTATGGTTTTTAATTTTCATTTGTGAACGTGAAGCTCCTGGTGGAGAGGGAGGACGGGTCTCCTTAACCCGAGTGTCCAGACTGGACTCAGGAGGACGTCTCTTCATTTCAGGTCTTGCTCACCTGCTGGTGGTGGTCGGAAGGGCCGGTGGTCCCAGAGCAGCTGCGGCTACGATGCAGCTCATCACCACCAGCGTGTGAATGAGTGAATGACTAGTGTAAAGTGTTCTGGAGTCCTCTGACTCAGGAAGACGCAACGCGAGAGCAGAGATCATTCATCATTTACACGAAGAACTCGGAGTGCACTTGGTTGTGATTCTGTCCAGTCAGGATTCTCCATCCCGTGTGACCCATGTCCACGAGTGGATCCTGGTCCAATGAAGTTATTTAGATGGGCTGGGCTGTCCGTCTATGACGTCATTAACAGAAAACACATGAATAGCAGGTGTCCTGAAACTCTCGGTTTTCCAGTCCATCTACGTTCCTCCCCTCACCAATCGCCACGAGCTTTGGAGACCAAAAGAACGAGGTCACAGACAAACGGCTGGAATGACTTTTCTCCGCAGGGTGTCTGGGTTCTCCGTTAGAACCCTTTTCCAACAGCCTTAGTCGGATTTCCCCCAACTTTTCAACACCTGCATCATTTTGTTTCCAAGATGTTCCAACAACGTGATGCTGGCCACTGATTGGCCGGGCGGCAGAGTCTTTCCGCCTGCTGCTGGTTCTGGGTTCAGAGTCTGACAAAATGTGCAGAGTCATGTTTTTGTGTGACATTCGGGTCACCAGCCCCCCCCCCCCCCCCCCCCCCCCCCCCCCTAATAATGACCCATACTTACAAACCCAGAATGTCCTGAGTCTGGGTTCTGGTCCAGTACAGGTCCCTGGAGAAAACAGCAGCAGTTTTCAGGGTCAAAGGTCGGCTGGTTGAGCAATGCTGAAGCTCGAGTCCCTGTGGTTTTTCTGTCAGAGCTGCTGAGCTGGCGCTACAGCAGGATGTTGTTGTATTTGTGTTGTTCTGCGGGTTTACTCACAGCTGCAGGTTCTGTTTCACTAACATCCTTCTGCAGCTCCAGGTCCTTCTGCAGGTCCAGGTCCTTCTGCAGGTCCAGGTCCTTCTGCAGGTCCAGGTCCTTCTGCAGCTCCAGGTCCTTCTGCAGGTCCAGGTCCTTCTGCAGGTCCAGGTCCTTCTGCAGCTCCAGGCCTTCTGCAGGTCCAGGTCCTTCAGGAGGGAAGCCCTAACCCACCAATCAGAACATCTGATCTGGCTGCAATAGCAAGTTTAGAAAACAAATGAGCTTAAAATCGGTTTTCATGTCTCCTAACGGCGTTCTAGCATAGTCCAGCTACGAATATGTTGTAGAGATGAAAGAAAAGAAAGAAAGTGGTTCTATCGTATTCGTCGGAACAAATCTGACAATCTAAGCAGCATCTGAGTCAGCGCCGTACGTTACCAGTCAAAGGTGTGGAAACCCTGGAATGAACGTCTTTTTCTCTTTTAGATCACTGGGAGTTCCTGTAAATGATACTGTCTTTTCTCACTGCTGTTTTGTTCTCGTGGTTATTTTGGCTCCAGTGTGTCGGATTGTACTCATTTCATTCATCTTACTTGTACAATGTTTTCTACTTCTGTGAATTGGACTAAAGCCTAATTTATACGTCTCCGTCAGCTCCACGAGGCAGAGACGCACGGATGGACAGAGACGTTTTGTCCTCATATGTCTCCGTCTCCTGGGGAGTGTTGCAAAGCACTTCCCCTCCAGGACACCAGAGGGCGTAGCGCTGTTCTGTGGTATCCGGTCCAAGATGGCGTATTTATATTGTGTTTTTTTGTATTTGAGACTTTTTAAAACGGACAGATTTGTCCCTCATCCTCCTCCACCTCTTAACTCACGTTTCCCGTCGTTTTCATCCACGAATCGAACGCTTGCTGCGTATCTTTTCACTCCTCCAGTCACGGGGGAATAAAACGTTCATTTTTTTTCTGAGAGGTATTCTTCAAGCTTCTTCGTGTCTGCCACTAGAGGTCTTCGGCTCTTTTGAGAGCACAATGGCGGCATCCAGACCAATCACAAGCTCGCGTTGTTCGTCTTGTTGGATGGACGTTTAGTAAAGAAAGCTTGACTCCGTCCGTCTTTGTGTGCCTGCCGCGGAGAGCCCTCGAAAGGACGCATAATGGTGTTGCGTGGGTCCGTCCCGACACAGACGGAGACGTATAAATTAGGCTTAAGAGTCCAGAATAAATTCTGAAAAATCTCCACTAACAACACTTATCAGACCAAAACTAACCATTGGACCGTCCGGTTGTTGGTCTCACCAAACCGCCGCACTTCCCTGGGTCCTCCGCTCATCACACAGTTTACAGTCCAGCGAACTACACCTTCTTTGGCCATCTCTCCAACCACCGCTCCAAATAACATCACCCCTACAGTCCTGCAACGCAACCGTCCTCTGTGTGTCTTCCAAAGGTCACAATCCCCCAAATGTTGTCTTCTGCTGACAAATCCCAAAGTCTTCTTATTCCAGTTCATTTATCAACCAGCAAAGACGTAAACTGTATTTATGGTTGGAGAACCCAGAACACCAGATGTTTACGACCCATCCCTCTCCAACAGGTTAAGAAGACAAATGTTCTCCAGGATGCAGTTACGTGTGCCGCGTTAAACGCCCGCTCCATCGCAATGGTCCTTGGAAATGATTGTCTTGTGTTTATTCCAGTTCAGTAATAAATGATAAAACGAGGAAGCGGCTATAGGGTGCAACTAAAAGGAACAGAAGATCAATGAGAAGGAAATTAAAGGCTTTTGATACCTGCTGAGGTTTGTTTACGGTGACATTTAAAATATGTCATTTGTAAATTTCTTGGAAAAACTTCTTTCAGTTTGATCAAGTCAACCTTTTAAAAAAAAATTATTAAATAATTTTCCATTTAAACAAGACCCGTCTCAGGTTTTCTTAGAGGTGTGTGAAGCGAGATCAAGCTAAATGAAGGCATTTCTATGACTTCACTAAAGCATTAACAGCATTTATGGACAGGAATAATGAATATGATTTACCACACTGGACCATCAGAAACTTAACAAGTTAACAAGACAGCGTTTGTCCTGCAGCTGCAGCTTGTTGTGGAGATATTTATAGTAACGGAGTCACCAACGGGATCGCTGAACGTTAGCTTTAGCAACATGCTAACAAGCGTTTGTGCTACACAACAGCAGATACTGGTCCACAGCAGCAGACAAAATATCTAGTTTGGTCAAATTGGGATAGTGAAAAACACAAGATGTGTTTTCAGTAAATAAATCATTAACAAAATGAACTTTCTGTCACAAACTCACACTTTTATAAGAAGTAGGTGTGTGGTGTCGCATCTAAGTGGGTCCAGGCTGAAAAAATTCTCACTCTTTCTGTTAGTAAATTACTTTGGTCAGGGAAAAAAAGCTAAACAAGTGAAAATAAGGTTGGAAGCTTACATAAATGAACTTACATTTTCTGTCTGAGACAAGTGGTGCAAAATAGGGCCGCGTGAAAAAGAAAGAGTAGCTTGAAAAGCAGCATTTATGACTCACATCAGCAGTTTTGTTGTCATTTGTGTTTGTGATAAGGAATAAAATGACAAAACCACATGTCTGTGGGAAGATGTTAATGCAAGTGTTTGAATTAGTTATTCTCCATATGTGCTGGACTAAGTGGAGCAAAATCATTAAAGCAGGAATTCCATATCCTGTAACTTGCAGTAACACATTTGTGTACCTGCGATGAAGGATTTGGTGCAACGTGGTTTGAAAATTCTCATAACACACCTGGAGAGTGAACGCTGGCGTGTCTGACTGCCGATGCTCACCGGTTGTTACTTCTTCTACGCTATTTTCTACTTTTTTACGCTAAGCTATGCTTTTTTGTTTCTGTGCGCCTATCTGAGCTGTCATTTGGACCTTCTCGAAATTCTCGTTAGGCTGGCGGAAAATGACTACCTGTCTGAGGTGCTTAAACACGCTTGCTCAGCATCATCAGTCTAACCCCAAAATTCCACTACCTCTGCTCCGCCCCCGCTTTCCGCTGCCGCTCGCTTCCGAACTCAATTTTTACTGGTACCCGCTCTACAACGGCTCCGCTCCGGTGCGGAGACCTGAGGTGCGCAAACAGGCATACGCGGGATTTTCGAGATCTTGCGATACAGTCCGAGCAATAAACGCGGAAGTTAGATCCAAACACTTGTTGTGTGGGAGAAGCATCGAAATGAACTGTTCAATCTGCCCATCATTTGTGTTGAGATACCAGCAGTGTTTGGATCAACAAAGGGTGACTACTTTGATAGTGGAAACTGTATTTATGGCTTATTTTTGTGCATTTAAACTTCAGCCGCCATTGATAGTTGTTAAAAGTTGTTAAACCTGTGCATATGAAACAAAAAATGCTTTTTGTTTATCGATTTATTGTGAAATAACGGAAGCTGTGCTTGCTCCCTTTCCTGTTGGGTGGTTGTGATTTCTGTCCATTGACTGCGGAGGTGCTCCGGCGTCCGGCAAAAATAGAATCAATCCTATTTTTGCCGGATGGCGGAACGCCGGGTGGCGCACTGCGCCGCACGGCCGCAGTAGTTGAACAGCTCTGATCGACTACAACGGGACCGATTTTGCTGCGGAGTTCGTGCCGGAGTGGAGTGGAGGTAGTGGAATTTTGGGGTAACAGAGATGGGGATCCACGGCATATGGGTGTGGTCCGTGCTTACCTGGGTCATTTTG